CAATACATACATGAATGTGGTTAGGTTTAGGCCGGCCCTGCCTCGCAGGGGCCAGCTGGTAGGCCTACTTTATATATTTATTGTTGTGCCTGTGAGAATATTTTAGCGAGTCCTATCACTAATCTTTTTTTAACTCCCATTAATCATTCCTGTTTGTCCCATTGATTACTTTGCTCTGTCTCAATTATCATTATTTATTGGGCTTAAAGGTTGTCGACGACTCAAAGGTCATTAACATCCTTCGAGGGATGTTAAGGCCCCTAACCAGCATCATTTATAGGATCGCCATCCAAGGAAGTACATTGTCATCCCCTGACTGCCTCACATTCTCCAGGCGCTGTATGATCTCTACGGTGGAAAAACACCGAACTTCAGTATAATGAGATTCTTTACTAACAATGTTTCGGCAACAGTGGGCGAAACGTTGTCAATAAAGAATCGGAGCATACCGCAATAGTGCATTTTTTTCCATCGTGTCGGTATTTTATAACATTTGCTTCCATGAACTCGACGAGTTTAAGCTTCTATTTAATGTAATAATAATAATAATAATAATAATAATAATAATAATAATAATAATAATAATAATAATAATAATAATAATAATAATAATAATAATAAATCTTTATTTCTACAAGTACACGACACTTATTAGGCGAGTACAACTTACACAGTTTCGTCCCAGAATTTTCCTTGATCACGTCTTATGTTTGGAGGTTGACGTAGAACACTGGAAGGTTAGTTTTGCATTATTTATACAAGAAAACGTTGAGTGTTTGTTCCGTAGGGATTTACATAGCTTTTGATGCCGCAGTTTAATGCATAGCGTCACTCCACTCCCTATCAACGTGGAATGATTTAAACCTCCGTAAGTAAGATAAGATAAGAGAGATAAGATTTCGTTCGGATTTTTAACCCCGGAGGGTTAGCCACCCAGGATAACCCAAGAAAGTCAGTGCGTCATCGAGGACTGTCTAACTTATTTCCATTGGGGTCCTTAATCTTGTCCCCCAGGATGCGACCCACACCAGTCGACTAACACCCAGGTACCTATTTGCTGCTAGGTGAACAGGACAACAGGTGTAAGGAAACGTGTCGAATGTTTCCACCCGCCGGGAATCGAACCCGGGCCCTCCGTGTGTGAAGCGGGAGCTTTAGCCACCAGGCCTGATTATGCTATTAGCACCAGAGGGGATAATAACCAAAGAAAATCAAGATGTGTGCTTTTTCCCCGTTGGCTCTTAGGATGCTACCCACGACTAACTTCAAGGAATCTAAATATTTACTTTAGGAAAATAGTACCAGCAGGTGTAAGGAGACTCGTCCACAGGTCTCACGCAACTTGGGAATCGAAAAGGGTCATGTCAGCTGTAAGGTCTCCCACTTAGTTACTATTAAGCACTTGGCAAACTGAGATTAAAAGAGTCTAGCTGAGTGGGAATAATTACTTAAAGTGATATTCAAGAGTATAAACCAATTATAGGGAAACCCCAGTTATCACTTACAATATTTATCTATTATCCCAAAATTCGAGTACTTAGGTAAAAGTATGCCATATATCGTCTTTAACATATGGTCCCATGGTGTAATGGTTAGCACTTTGGACTCTGAATCCAAGAATCCGAGTTCGAGTCTCGGTGGGACCTAACGAGTTTTACATTGTCTCCGTCGACAGCGCCTTAGGTTGAAGGACAAAGGACCCGAGTTGGGTCCTCGGTCAAGTATAAAAGTACCTGGGTTGTAGATGACTGGTAACTGTGGCATCCTAGAGATGAGATTAAATGTCACCTGTTCATCATCACTCAAAAATCCTAAAATGTGATTAAAGTAAGCTATGTGATATATTGATAGACCTACACCTCTCAGTTTATATAATACAATCTTGATCATCCAAGGAGTTACCTATATACATCACTGTGTATATAGGTAAACTATAGTCGTGATTTACTTGTTGGCGATGGACCACAAAATATGCACTGGGAAGCGTAAAAGCCGTAGGATTTGTATAATGCTTAGGGAATAAAGAGCACAAATAACCCGCACGTAGAAGAGAGGAGCTTACGACGACGTTTCGGTTAGACTTGGACCATTTACAAAGTCACACGGGTTATTTGTGTATCGTTCCAGTCACTGTATTGTGCCTTTTTTGTGATTAATAGAGGGCACTCAGGTTTCATTTAAGGAAGGGAAAGTTAGCTGTAGTTCCTGTTCAAGAGTCTTTTACCCTTCCAATTAAAGTATTTTCGTGGAGCTTTATTTTAGCCTCTGAAGGTGTGTCCTTCCTTGCTTCACTCAGAGCAATATTTCTTGCCTTTCAGAGGGCAGTTTTTACTTTAGTCATTGTGGCCATAGCAATTCCAGCATGGCGGTATTGTTCCTACTCAATGTCTTTTGCATTGGTATGTTAGTATGAGATCCGGATCCCATCTTGCATGGCATGTTGCCATGGTGTGCACTCATATTTGTTCATATATAAACTTCAGCATTGAGGATATTAGGTAATATAGTTATTTTTTCGACTCGATCCATGTTACCCGAGTTTTTTTTTTCAAAATTACCGTCCCCTGCGGCCCGGTCCCAGACTTGGCCTCCTGCTTGCTTACCTGATCGATCGAGCTGTTAGTTTCCGTCATCCGCAGTCCAACGTATGTACCACAACCTAGCTGACCAGGAACTGTTTTGAGAAATCTGCTGAGTTCCTCCTCGAAGACAATTAGGGGTATTTTAGTTATGCTACCTGAGCGGCTAGTTCATCATGCACCCGTAGCTCATCTGTGAGTGGTCTACCTGGACTGGTAGCGCAAAAAAAAAAAAAAAAGGAATACAGAAGTCACAATAGATTTTTGTCAGATCCCACTGAACATTGTTATATCACTAGGAAGAAATTTTAGTCATTTAGTATTTTAAATTACATAGTTGTTGTACACGGTATAGTGAACAATACAATCTAAAAAAAATTACCACAAAAAATGATCATGGCTAGGTTTCATCTCTTGAAAGGCAGGTTGTTCATCAAATCGATGCAAAATATGGATACAACTTCAAATTTCAGATATCTTTAATTATGAGGTGTTTTATCATATCTTGCAAGGTCTGCATGGAGGTCTCTGAAAGGTGGATATTTGGACACTTAAGACGTAGTACTCCAGGGTACGGCCCTGTCTCTGTCCACGCTTCGCATTTTTTACCATTAACATCTCTACATAAACCGTACTGCCCGAGATGCTTATATAAAGTCTAACCTTAGTCTAGCAGTAACATAATCTTTCAATCTACTGATCTTACTTTCTCCATATATATGTTTAGCTTGACACATTTCATTAAGATGAATAATGGATAAATTAGTTCCTGTCTGTACAGTCCTACTTTGTTGGCAATCCCCTTTATGCATGTAGGGTCATAGTTTTAGCCTTCAGTCTCGGTTTTTAGGTAGCTGGCTGATTGTCCAGTCTTTTGAAGAGTAGTTTTTTTTTTTAGCCTTCATGATATACAATGATACAGCTTCATAGACTTTTTCTTTCAGCTTCATCACAGCATTGTTTTGATCTTTTCAGTATATTCATCGCTGAAACAGCCAAGCAATGAATGAGTCCTTAGTTGATACAGGTTTGAGAGTTTTACATATAGTCAGAGGATAGTGGGTTGTGTTTGCTGTTCTTTGCTACCCCTCAAGGAAGGTTCCTTGATGTTGGTGAGGGGCTCTTGATTTAGGGAATGGGATCTGTGCTCCAGTTCCCCGAATTAAGCCTGAATGCCTTCCACATCCCCCCCAGGCGCTGTATAATCCTACGGGTTTAGCGCTTCCCCTTGATTATAATAATAATAATAATAATGTTCTTTGCTAGCAACACTAGACTCTGAGAGGCTTGGTTTCTACACGATAAGTTTGCGTCCTGGTGAATATCGACGACCGTGCAGGGTTCTCAGGGAGGAACAGTTGGTGTTGCTGATTCAATGCTGGCAGGCTGCACGGGTCAATGAAAGGACTTCCTTATCTGAGCTAACCACACCAGTTGACCACCGCACCTACACAGATACTTGAAATAGGTGATCCATAGGTAATGTTGCACTAGTAAGATCATGGCTGTAAAGCGGTTAAGTGGTGAAAAAAGACTGACGTTTCCCTTAAAAGAATAGGGTTGTATTACCTTCCTAGGTTTGGCACATTTTTCACAATAATAATAATTAGAAGAATAGTTATAATAGGTTGTAAGTATAACACATTCACTGGTCCACGTATTTGTATGTTAGTTACACGCTAGTTTTGCATTGTTCAGCAGGAGACGGAAACCTTGATTACCTGCATTCAAACTGTTCTCAGTGACTTCACACACAGCGATCATTAGAGGCGCAGAGGTGGTTGGTTTTGGTATAGCAAAGTCATGGCTTGAAGCAGAGACAACAGGTGCAAGGTAAGCTTTTGTTGTGACAACGTTTTGCTCCATGCAGACTCGCTTTATCTAGTCGCAATAAAAGCCTGTGCTTCATCTGGGTCTTTACATAACTGTAAGCAGTATGACTTTTGTATGCAAGGTGAGTTGGGATGGTGATGAGTGTATGAAGGGTAGTGTGGAGGTTGTTGTTTACACTAAGTGTAGTGACCTTGAGTGAACCAGCTGACCCACCAGCCCTCTCATTGGTCAACCTGGACAAGCTCCTCCCACTCAGTGATAAAACCAGAGTTTTGTAAGTTATCTCATTTCTTATGACTCTCTTCCTTAATACTTCGTACTTGGTATAATTCTTATAGCTTTATTTAACAAAATCATATTTGCTAGGCTTCTATCTGAATACGTGTGTTATGTAATTAAGACAATGACAGACATCATGAGAATATCCAGTTTTATTTGAATAACTTATTAATCAGAAACATTTCGATAGAAACTCATCGTTCACCTAGGGGAAATTAAGAAAATCGGAAACTATGGACAACTTTGGGGCTCATGGGAAGTACTTTCCAAAAGTATTAAATGAGGAGGCAGGTATGAATGAGAACAAGACCCAGCTTGGCTGAGCAAGTCAACAGTAGTGTAAGTTCGGTGTGGGAGAGCATCAGAGGGCGAGGTGGACAAACACCTGCAGAAACGCATTTTAAAGTTGGCGGTGAGGTGCGCACGGCGGCCATCACGTGACATTCCCTGGCTTATATATAGCCGAGACGGCGCGGCGTCTGCCTCTTTTCCACTCAGCTGCCACATAAGAAGCACGATATGCCCGAGTCCGCTGCGTACACGAATGGCTACGCCTCCACTAGCACGGGGGCCGAGTGCGAGGACCAGGAGACTTTCCTCTTTACCAGTGAGAGTGTGGGTGAGGGTCATCCAGGTAGGTGTACCCCACAAGCATTTTTATTTTTATCTATTTAATAAACTGTTGATAAGTTTTACCCGCCAGTGCATTGTCTGGTCAGTCATCTTGGGAGCCGCCGGTGGCTACACGCAGTTATCACTCGTTTACCTTTATTAACTCCTTGATATTTTAGACTTGCTGACTACTATTTGTGTTGAATTTGAACTTGTAGGACATAGTTTATTTTCTTGCCTCCAGAAGCTAGTGTAGAGATGATAATGGTTCGTGATCATACGCCTGACAGCGGGGAGTAGTCAGGACAGATGCAGCGTCTTCACATTGTTATAAATAAATTACACGTGGAAGTTTAACCTACATTTGTCACTATATTAAACTACTATCATCACTCCAGACTCGCATAACTGGAAATTATTACTATGAGAATATTATTAACCAGGCGAGGAATGCTTCGAGCTATCGATTATATGAAATGTCGGTTTTGCTAGTCATGCTTAGTCTTGTGTAATTAGTAAAGAAGGAAAATATAGTGAAAGTTTATAGATATTAGGCGAGATAGTAACAGTATTTATCATGGTACGTGTAGGAATGTAGGTCTGGCAGTGTTGCGGTAGAGGGAAGTACGTAGTGTGAGGCAGATGACGGCCATTGCTAATATGTTACATATAATGCTTATTTGTTGGACTGGAGCAATGTTTCTCATTACCTTTCTTCACCCCTCCTCTCTACCCACCACCATTATTGACCCTCAACATCAACCAGCCAAATGACTTAGTTTGAAATGTGAGTACAGGATTAGCAGAACTTCCCTTGCTCAAGGCTGTTGATTTTTTTTTTTTTTTTTTTTTTTTTTTTTTTTTTTACCTTTAGTCATATTAACCCAAGATAACAAGGTACATTTTTATTAAGAATCTTTCATAGGATGAGACTAGGAGCCACCCTAATAAATTTTGATTATTTATCCTTGTATGATTGTATATTATTTAGGATTAAATACTTTAATTGAAGAAACCATTCCACAATGACTTTAACCCAAATGAATGTGTAGCAATTGGCAAGGTTCCCGTGTAGTGAAGTTGACATTGGTTGGAATGCAACTATCAAGGCTACTGCATATTTTTATCTCAATTTTGGGATGTATTGGAGTCCATTTAAGATTTCATTGATATAATGATAATTCATTGAATTTAAATGAATTATTGGTTAATATTATAGAATATAACTGATCCTGTATTTTGCTAGACAATGCAAGTGGTTTTCAGGCAGTTTTTTTTTTTTTTTTTTTTTTTTTTTTCCAGATAAAATCTGCGATCAAGTCAGCGATGCAGTGCTTGATGCCCACCTTAGCCAAGACCCTGATGCCAAAGTAAGTCGGAACTTTGAATATGTTATGAAATAATTTTAAATACGATGTCCACAAATTACAGTACGTACTTAATTTAATGAGATCAGAATTCTTGATTTACCGGAAAACTTAACTTTACTGTATATTACTATTTTATAATAAATATATAATATTTATTTAATTTTGTTCTTGTTAATAGGTTGCTTGTGAAACCTGCACTAAGACTGGCATGATCTTAATTTGTGGAGAGATTACTTCTAAGGCACAGGTGGACTATCAAAAAATTGTTCGTGAAACAGTAAAGAAAATTGGTTATGATGATTCTGGCAAGGGTAAGTTTTATGTTTAAAGTATTGCACAATTACTGTTGATACAAAAATAAATGTAGTTATTTAACAAATTTGTATTTTGATAAATTGTGGAAGATTTTGGCCAATTTTATACCTTAATAATTGCAGTATATTACTGTTGACTAGTATTAATCTTCATGCACCATTTCTAAGCACATGTACTGTATTAACAGTTCACAGTAAAATATTTTGGAGAAAATTTTTAGCCTGGTGTATTGTTTTATATGTAGATGTATACATTTTTAAATTTCTTTTTGGTATAGCATAAATACTTAAGATTTTAACTAATCCCATACAATCCATTTGTACTAAGGGTGTACAGGATACTTGATTTTGACCAGGAATTGATTTTAGGCATTGAATATTGTTCCGAGACCAGTATAAATATGGCATTCAATTTAGCCAGCACTAGCAAATTGGTTTATGGCATATGCCATCAGCTCCTAGCCTGATAGAAACAATAAGAGTAAGAGGAATATGTTAAGATGCACATGAAGTTAAGAAAATTTGAAATAAAAGAACTTCTGCAAATCTGATTAGAAAGCAGCATTTGAGTGACACTGGTTAATTGGGCATCACATGTTTATGTAAGTTTTGGCATGGAAAAATTCCAGGCATAATTTAAAAGAATTTGAGTGCCTGATCTTAATTTATGGTTGTTTAATATTAATCATTAGTACTGGATCAGGCTAATGTGCAATGTAATGATAGTACATAAAAATGCAAATCACACAGAAATCACTCCCTGCGAAAGCAAAAGACTGTGCAGGCAGTGCAAAATACCTCCAAGAAAACACTAAGTGTCTGGTGCCCAAGATTGTTCAGCAGCCTCCACCAGGCATAAGGGGAATTACCAATAGGCACTTGGCTGTCTGCAAGAGGGAGCTGGACAGATACTTTAAAGTCGGTGCCGGATCAGCCGGGCTGTGGTTCGTATGTTGGACTGCGTGCAGCCAGCAGTAACAGTGGTTGATCAGGCCCCGATGCACCGGGAAACCAGGTCATGGACTGGTTTGCAGGGACACTGATCCTCAGAATACCCTCTAGGTAGATAGAGGGTATAATACAGTACTTCACTCATCTCCTACTTGGTTGCCCAACAATAAGAATAAAATTAGCAACCTGTGTTGCTGATGCTTAGTGTCATTGTATTGGTAGGAAACACTCTCCTCACACACTTGTCTGTGGTTCAGTCTCCGGCAAGGATGGAAATGGGGGCATATTTCCTTAAATTTGCTGTCCCTGTTCACCTAGCAGTATGTAGGTACCTCGGTGTTAATAAACTGGTATAGGCTGCATCCTTGGGGGCAAAACTGAAGGACCCCAATGGGAATAAGATGGACAGTCTTTGATGCAGACTTTCTTGGGTTATCCTAGGTGGCTAACCCTCCGGGTTAAAAATCTGAACAAATCTTAGTTTGGGGGATAAATTTTTCTTAACATGGGGATAATACAGAAAAGGGATTTCCTAAGTGGTCTTTCCCATTAGGTATACATAGAACAGTAGTATTTAAAACTACTAAGTTACACTGTAATAAACTTTAGAAAACTTATGTTGTGTTATCCTTTGTAAGTAGTATGCAAAATAGGCTTTCTTTCACAAACTCAATGCAGGTGAAATTCAGCGACATGCCTCCGCCAACTTTACCAATTATGAATGTGCTGGCTCAATTGCATTTCTTTATTGTATGCTGGACAGGACACCCTATCCATTTCAATGATTTTTGCTACTTATAAGAAGGGTCCTGAATGGACATTTAGCTTTTCAATCACTGCTATTCACAATTTTAATTAAAATTGGTGTAGTTATAGTAAAATTGATGTATTATATGTATAATATACCATGCAATAATATCACAGTAAACGGGTGATATCAGAATATTCAAAACAACCACTGTGAAAGAATAGTGAATTTCCAAGCACTTTCATGACTTCTCACATTATCAAGGAACTGTGATAATGTTCCTTGATAATGTGAAAAGTTTCAAAAGTGCTTGGAATCTCTCTATTCTTTCACAGCAGTTGTTTTGCATAATATACCATATGTAAAATTTCATTGGTAGGTTACTAATAAAACAGGACCTTTGTAAAATTATTTGATCTTTGGGACTGGATTAGATTTTAGAGGTTCTACTTGTAGTCTCTTGGTAATAATTTGCATGTGAATAAAAGCTTTAAATTAATGGCTGTGGCACATAAAAAAGCAATAGTTGTTCCCTGTATTCAGGCTTCGACTTCATGACGTGTAATCTCCTTGTTGCTATTGAGCAGCAGTCTCCAAATATTGCTGATGGTGTTCATATAAACAGAGCTGAAGAAGATGTTGGAGCAGGTGACCAGGTACTTTGTAATCTGCCTCTATCGACATGGCTTACATCGTGGGTGTGGGTGGTTGCGGTGCTGACTCGTTGGGACCTGAGAGTAGTTTTTTTTTTTTTTTTTTTTTTTCTTTTGGGAAATTTCACTTTTCTTTCTCCATTAACTCACTGGCCATACACTGAAAGAAATTGAAGTAATAGCTTTTCCTAATTTTTCAATTGATAATCTTCATATTTCTAATAGTATATGGCCAAGATATTCTTCAGTCTGTTGCAAAGTAGAAAATGGGTTTCTTTGTAGTGTTTCATTGGATTTCTTCCAACTGCCATTTTCTGTTTTCTTCGGTTAGTGGCATTGATGTTTGTGTAGCAGTCTTCCTTTAGGTACTTACAAATTGTGTGATGCACATGTGATGAAAGGGGAAAATGTCCTGAAACCATCTGGTTTTGTGTGTTAATTTGCTCACTTGTGGTTGGGTCTTGCCTCACAGGCTTTGACTACAAGACATGCAATGTTCTCCTGGCCCTGGAGCAACAGTGTGTGGAAATTGCTAATGGGGTACACGTTGGGCGCAGCGACGACGACATTGGGGCAGGCGATCAGGTGATGAGTTACACTTTATATTTCGGCTGTAAACTGCTATTTTGAAGCATTAATTTTTTTAATTGATGCTGTGATAGGGAATTTTAGAAAAATTTATGGATTTTCTAGACTAGCAAACAAAGAATTAAAGTTTAAATATTGTATAATGCTAAGTGATTTAGATTAGAAAAGCATGGTCATAGAGGTATGTAATCATAAAATTCATCGGAATAGTCATTTTTAATTTTCTTTTGTATGTAGCCTTCAGTGGCAATTCCTTTACTGTTGAATCTTTGAATATATTGGGCATTTAATTAACAACACTTGCACTGCATATGTTAATGAAACTAAAATTAAAGCTCTACGTACCTTGGTCATCTTTAGAATATTGTTCCTTAAATTTTTCGTGTATGCTACTGTACGTATTTCTTGTTTGAGATGCTGTGTATTTGTCATTGAATATTTTACATGACATATTAGTGTCAAATTTTTGTCATTTAACATCCAGAATTAGTAGAATTTAATTAACAACACGTTAGATTTTATCATGGTTGATATTCCTGAGATGTATTTTGCATTAATCTTTAGTGTTGCCATTTCTTCTAACCATTTTTCCTACTTGTAACAATTTGCATTTTCTAAATCTTTTGTGTGGACTATCAGTTTTTGTTTAGCAAATTGTATTTTTCTAGCAATTAGCTTTTTGCAAAAGCTTTTTTTTTTTTTTTTTTCAATTGTTTTTGCTTACATTTAATGGTGACATATTGTCAAACATGAAATATTGTAGTAAGACAATCACACTGGGTCTCACTGATTTTAGATGTAAGAAAGTTTACATTGGAAGTCAATAAATTGACTTCCTTCCTTTCTCTAGGGTTTGATGTTTGGCTATGCCACTGACGAGACTGATGTATGTATGCCATTAACTGTTGTGCTGGCACACCGTCTGAATCAAAAAATTGCAGAATTACGAAGAGATGGACTTTCTGGTGGGCACGACCTGACAGTAAGACTCAAGTCACTTGCGAGTACACATTTGAGTAAGTGTGCCTGAGTGTTGCAGAAAAATAATTAATTTTTTTCCTTCTAAATAAATAAATAGTATTTTAGGTGCTTATAATTAAAATTAATAATTTCAATTCATTAAAATTGATTACCCAATATCTTGGATTTAGAATTATGAACTACAGACTACATATTATCATTATTTACATTGTGGTTGATAACATTTGACATAATTCTTACTTTACAGTCAAGGAGCTGCCATTCCACAAAGAGTGCACACAATTGTTGCTTCTGTGCAACATTCAGATAAGATTTCTGTGGAGGCTTTGCGTGAGGAAATAATGGAGAAGGCCATAAAGGCAGTTATTCCTGAAAAATATCTTGATACTAAAACCAAGTATCACATTAACCCATGTGGAGAATTCATTATGGGTGGGCCCCAAGGTGATGCTGGGCTTACTGGTAGGAAAATTATTGTCGATACATATGGTGGCTGGGGAGCTCATGGAGGTGGAGCATTCTCTGGCAAAGACTATACAAAAGTGGACCGCTCTGCCGCTTATGCTGCTCGTTGGGTTGCCAAGTCATTGGTGAAGAATGAAATATGCAGACGCTGTTTAGTGCAGGTAAGCTTTTAGCAAGTTTTAACTTGCTTGAATACATGGAAACTTGATTTAGTATGCTAAAACTTGACAGAATCTGTGGTCAGACATTTGGAAAAGATTTCAGTGCTAAATTCAAAATTAAGTTATTGTAATGATCATGGTGGGGGAGGGTGCAGTCTTGTCATGGATTTAGGACAGTTGTCATTGCAAACTACTTCCCCCTCCGGCCCCTCAAGGGAGGTTCCTTGACGCTGGTAAGGGGCTCTTGATATAGGGAATTGGATCTGTGCTCCAGTTCTCTGAATTGAGCCTGAATACCTTCCATCCCTTCCCCCCACATGTGTTGTATAATCCTAAGGGTTTAGTGCTCCCACATGATTATAATAATAATAATCCTTCCCCCTCCCCATTAATCCATTAAGTTGAGGTTTCAGTGTGCATTTAAATTTCTCCTAAATCCTTTAGAATTGTCGACTCGCTCGAGCTGTTGAGCTGCCATTGGTGGCAAAGAGAAGATTCAATATTAACCCTTTCACTATCGGTCCCATAATATTACAGCTTGCAAATTAGTGTTCCTGTAATAGTATGCCAAAATTCTAGTTGCTTCCAATCTTTTGGGAGAAAGCTGGTAGGCCTACAAATGAGAGAATGGGTCTGAGTGTCAGTCAGTGTGCACAGTACAAAAAAATCCTGCAGCACGCAGAGAATAATGAAGTAATTTCATTTTTACAGTAATGTAGTAGTCTGTATAACAGTAATTCTTGAATTTTTTGTGTGAATAAAAATTCAAAATGGAAAGCAAACGTAATATAAGAGGGGCCTGGAGATGTGACTGATGTACAGAGAAAATGTTCTTTTTATTGCTCGTAATGTTTGCATTGTTAATTCTGGGCCCTATTTTGAAATTAGCCTTGAATTGTGTATGAAATTGGTCAAATTACCAATTTTTAATCACTCGATTGGGTAGTTAAAATCAGTAAATAGGCAGTTTCTTGTACTCAATTGATAGAACAAAAGTTCTAGCGAAATAGCTACGAGTTTGGTTGACTGGAACAGTGGAATTGGCCAAAAGTAGGGCTCAAAGTGAGTAAAATCACTGATGCATAAATGCCACCAAATGTCATGCGTGTAGTTTTTATTAAATTTTCTTATTCTAAATGTTAGTGGATTTGTTTGGTGGATATTTTTTTTATCATCACACTGGCCGATTCCCACCAAGGCAGGGTGGCCCAAAAAAGAAACTTTCACCATCATTCACTCCATCACTGTCTTGCCAGAAGGGTGCTTTACACTACAGTTTTTAAACTGCAACATTAACACCCCTCCTTCAGATATTTTTATTCTTAATTATAAAATCTCAAACCAAGTTAGTAATTGTGAATGAAAACAGTAACTGACCAGCAGCAAAGCCTAAATGAATAAATTGCCTCAAAATTCGTATAAAATTGAGAAGGGTATGGCAACTTAACAGCAAAGGGAAAAATGAAAAGTGTCAGTTTATGCACAGAATAAAAGAAATTATAGGGAAAAAAGCCTGATTATACCAGGTAGTGTGTGGTCTTTATTGACAGAATTATGGGTAAGATAAAGCAGGAGTGCAGAACAAGGTTTGAGGGAGAGTAGGGGATTTGTAGACCATTGACTCGTACATGTAAATACTTAAGATTAGGAACTTTCCATTGTCCCTTGATTTAGAAGGCATATGATAGGGTGGATATGGGACCAATGCTGCAAATGATTGGAATAGGTGGGTTTCTTGCATCAGTACATAGTACTGCATGTGGATAGCAAGGCTCAAGGCATGAGAGATTATTTTCTAGAATAAGTAGGCCTTAGACAGTTGGTGTGATGCCACCATGAGGTAGAGTGAACCAAAAAAGATAATACTTTACTATCACTCACTCCATTGTCTTGCCAGAAGCGTGATAATGCTACAGTTCAGATGTCCCTCTAATTTTCAATAACTCCACCCCTCCTGCAGAATGCAGACACTGTACTTCCCACTTCAAAGAGTAAATTACAGTTAATCGGTTTCCCTGAATCCTTTTATAAATGTTACCTTTCTCGCAAAAAAAAAAAAAAATTACTCAACCTTTCCTAGGGTGATCCCCTACACCGTCTTGCCTCCTACATATTTATACATTCTGTCGTCCTATTTTACTCCATCCCCTTAAATGTTCAAACCCGAGAATTTGGTGTTAGAGACTATTGAGCCTTGGACATTTAGATAGGCTGGAGAAAATACAGGATTACTTGGAGGGTGTATAAATCAAAGGTGAAGGTGTTGGGATTATTTTACAAAAAGTTGGAAGAAGGGGGTAAAGGAGGTTTTTAGTGCCAGGAGTTTGGACCTCCAACAGGTTTGAGCATGTTGATGGGGGCAAATTGATTTTGATTTTATGTACTGATTTGGGGCCTGTACTCTGGTTGTGGTGGGGGTGTTGCTGTTTGGAAAGTATTTTGTGCACTTCTGGCATGAATAATAGTTACAGCCATAGATGTAAAACAGCATCTGTTTATAGAATTACTTAACTAGGTTGGGTAGAAAAAAAGGGTGGGGGTGTCAAAATTGTGACAGATTTAAGTTGTACAATACCCATTAGATTGTTGTGTAATACCCAATAAATTCAAATATTGCTTTTTAATTCAAAATAAATAATTACATTTGTTTCCGACTGTAGTGATTGATAGGTTTAATGCATAGATTGCTTGGATTCCAGGTATCTTATGCCATTGGTGTTGCTGAGCCAGTAAGCATCAGTATCTTTCATTATGGAACTTCTCAGTACACATCACAGCAGCTACTGAAAATTGTTAACCACAACTTTGATCTACGACCAGGACGTATTGTTAAGGAACTTGGACTGAAGAGGCCCATCTATAGTGAAACATCCTGTTATGGACATTTTGGTAGGGAACAATTTCCCTGGGAGCAGGTCAAGAAATTGACCATTCCAAAGCTTTAGATTTGTTAGGTGTCCCAAAATTCATACTTAGTGGGACCCAGTTAGCCAGTTCTGCCAAGTGCATGGCTTAACTTGACAGAATTGGCTAACCTACCGTAAATTAAGAGACATGTCAGTCTGCTGGTATTTAATCCTTTCACTTGCATTAATTTCTGATTGCACTCGTGTTGTCAAGCAGGCACTCGGGCTTGTGTGTGCTTGTGCATCCTGGTGACTAATTTTGGTGCTGGATCAGGGGTGCCTAGTGCGACACCTGTCCTGTACCAGCCCTGACCATGAGGACCCCTGTGAGGCGACCACAGTTTTAGGTTGGTGCAGACGATGGCTCTGAGCTATGCTATACCCCTTGTCTGTACTAGACTTGAAGCTGCAAATGTGTAGGAAGAGCAAGGTTTCCTCTAGAGTTTTTTATATAAGATCTACGCATTTGTGTTGTGTTTACGAAAATTCTAATGGAAAAGAGCATTTCCTTAAACACTCCGGCCGCCTTCCTGGGAGTTTGATGATTAAACAACTGCCACATTCCTCATGCGTTGGGAATTTTTAGATTTTTTTTTCTTTCTAATTTTTATCAGATTGTTTATAAGATATGTATGATGTACATTGTATTTATTGATCATGCTAGTGTATACAACATAAATTGTATCATGGCAAATAAAAGTGAGTTAATGTGACTGTTCTCTTCCTTGTCCATTTGTGAAACAAATTTTGGCTACTAAGCACAGAATACAGTTTTTCTAATGGATGTTTAACTTGTGTGTTCAGGCTTACAAAACCCTATTTTATAAATTTTCCTCAGTTATGTGATGAAAAATCCTGGAAACTTTGAAAATCATTACAGAATAAAAATTTATGCAAATCAGTGATGTCATCGGGAAGCAGGAAAGCTTACTAATGAACAATTACTCGGTATTGAAATGTAGCAATTTTGTTTTTTAATTGGTGCAGTTCTAATGACCCATTGGGGTTTAGTGCAATTTTTTTTTCTTTGCATGAATTTGCTAAGCAAAAAATTAAAGTTATTGATGGGTAAAATTTTAAAATAGTAGCTTGAAGGATTTCATAGATTTTGCATGGAAGAAAGCATATTTTGGTGTTGCATCACCTTTCAAGAATTTTACTAGCAATTGTGTATGTAATTTTATTCACTTCATAAATCTACAAATTCATAGACGTCAAGACATGTTCATGTGTTCTACTGTATTTGTGGTGTTGGTTTCATTTTCATGCACGTATTCAGATATTTTTTTTTTTTTTTCCAGAAAAGCCATTTTGCTGAAAACCATTTTCCATAGAATACATTAAAAGCTTTGAGCTTGCAGGTTTCCTATTAAAGGCTTCTCCCTTCCTTCTATATTCCAGTTCTCCAATTACACCTTGCCAATGTGTAGCTGAAGATTCCTGTAATGTAACAATCAAATGTATTTAAATATACACAGTTAATGATGGTGTTAAATTAGCAAAACTAAGACTTGGCACTTAATGCTATATTATAATATAGAATTCACTACTATGTAATAAAAATGGATATTTTTAAAATTTGTTGCAGTTGTATTTTGCTGCTGTAGTTTTCTGAACAAACATAATTCTAAAAGTCTTATATTGTTTAAGAACTGTTCTGGCACATTTACCTGAATTGCTATATCATTGTAGGGTAAAGAAATCTTAAATGTCTTTTATTTCAGTATCTTGTCCTAAAGTAACATCAAAGGTGTTTTGCTTGTAATTTTTAGTACATGCCAATAAATGTATTTCCCTTGCCTTTGTGCTCATTTTAGCCTAACAGGTTTTTATTAACAAAGTTTGTTTAAAAAAAAACTTTCAGCTTTCCTTAAACATTAGTAATGTGGGTAGAACAATTATTAGTGTTATTCATAACTGCCACTTGTGCTGTAACCCTATGCTTTAGCACTTATGTTAATGATGGAGTCTTGATCCAAGACATGGGAGCTATTTTTTTTTTTTTTTTATTCTTTTGGGCTCCCTTTAATAAGGCTACTTGGTTGTCCTCTCTGCCATTACTTCCCCTCATGGGGGGTTCCTTGATGTTGGTGAGGGCTCTTGATTTTAGGGAATTTGATCTATTCTCCAGTTCCCTGAATACCTTCCATCCCACCCTCCCAACACATGTGCTGTATAATCCTACGGGTTTAGTGCTCCCCCGTGATTATAATCCATCCATCCGTATCCTGCATCAATTCCTATCCTGCAACGCTGCATGGCCCTAGTAGGTTTAGCACTTGCTTTTCATTATACTTTGTTCGTGAGGGATTCGTGATCAAAGAAATTGGACCTGTGCTGCCATTAAAATTAATGTCTGCCACTAAACGGAGGGGATCTTGGGTCGAGAGCCTCTCCTTCCTTGGACTGGCACTGTAACCTGCAGCGCTGTATAGTCCTTGTGGCTTAGCGCTTCTTTTTGATTATAATATAATGGCACTGTAACCTCTATGGGTTCAGCATTTCTCCTGTGATTAAAAAATAAAATGTTTCCCATTCCTTTTCCCCTCAAGGAAGGTTCCTTGATGTTGGTGAGGGGCTCTTGATTTAGGGAATTGGATCTGTGCTCCAGTTCCCCGAATTAAGCCTGAATGCCTTCCACATCCCCCCCAGGCGCTGTATAAAACTCTGGGTTTAGCGCTTCCCCCTTGATTATAATAATCCCATTCCTTTTGGTGTTGCAAGACCTAGGCCTATGGTTTAGCACTCCATGAATGTAAGGAATGCACTACACCCCTTTGCATTGGAGGTGGTCTTGGTCAGAAATTTGAGTCTCGGACTTTCTGGTCTTTCCAATTTCCTATAGAGGTGTTCCATTTCTGGACTATTTTGCTGCAATAGCTACCCACCTTCACGCCCGTTGGCAACAACGTTGGTCAACTCTGCTTGGTAACAAACTTCATCTATTAAACCGAGCATAAGTTATTGGCCGTCTTCTTGTCATCAGTGCCGTGGTTGGGAGACCACTCTCCCGTCTTCGCATTGGCCACACTCGTCTTACTCACGGGTACCTCATGGAGAGGCACCCTGTTCCTCTCTGTGAGCAATGTCAAGTTCCAGTATCGATTAGCCACATTGTTAGACTGCCCTCTCTATCAACGAGCACACAGAATTTACCTCCAACGCAGTCTTCCTTCTACTACTCTCTTTCCCTTCCCTTCTTGCTGATGGACCCTCCTTTAATCCTGACTCTCTCGTTGACTTCTTGACGACTGATTTACTCCACAAACTGATACCTTACGCACTCCCCTCAGCCCTTTCTAGCTCAGTCTCTTGCTGCCCTTTAACCTTTCACCAACCACTGCCCCGCTGTTATCCGTAACCTATTACTCATCCACCTCCCTTTTGCCACCTGATGCCCTCGTTTCCTTCCTGCCCTGCAGCGCTGTATAGCCCTTGTGGCTTAGCGCTTCTTTCCCCTCAAGGGAGGTTCCTTGATGCTGGTGAGGGGCTCTTGATCTAGGGAATTGGATCTGTGCTCCAGTTCCCTGAATTGAACCTGAATACCTTCCATCCCCCCCACATGCGCTGTATAACCCTACGGGTTTAGCGCTTCCCTGTGATTAATAATAATTAGCGCTTCTTTTTTATTATAATAATTATAATCCCAGTCAAGAGCTTGTATGCAGATGTGAACATCGTCTTTAGAAAGGTGGCCCCTCAAGGACGGTTCCTTGATGCTGATGAGGGGCTCTTGATCTAGGGAACTGGACCCCTCAAGGGAGGTTCCTTGATGCCGATGAGGGGCTCTTGATTTGGAGAATTGGATCTGTGCTCCAGTTACTTGAATTAAGCATGAATACCTTCCATTCTCCCCACCCCACAGGCGCTGTACAATCCTACGGGTTTAGTGCTTCCCCATGATTATAATAACGGAACTGGATCTGTGTTCAATTCCCTGAATTAACATTAAGTACCTTCCATCCCCACCCCCCTACAACCGCTGTATAATAATTTAGAAAGGTGTACGTGATGCCCATTGTCTGTTATTTGCTACCCTGGCCTTCAATACCTGTCCACTTACAAAACACTATCCGATATTAATAGGACTAAATTGTTTAATTGTCGCCCGTTCATTATGCTCCTTGTATTCCTTCTCATGGCTCGCTTTAATATACCACTGTTTACACAACTCAAGAATATCATCAAATAGCACGAAAGGACTGCGAGGAAAACCCACAAGTAATTGTTGGTAGGCCGCCAGTAGCAACAACCTGGTTGAACAGGAAAGCATCAGACATGCCTGGCCTAGAGCCGGGCTCCGGTAGTAGAAAAACTAACTCATCAGAGGTACAGCCTCACCTTCGACGCAAAGATCTCATAACTTTGATGGTGACTACTTTATTACGCCGACTTTGATTGTATTTTACCTACAGCGCTCCACTACTCCCGCTGTATAACCCTTGTGGCTTAGCGCTTCTTTTTTATTATAATAATCCACACTACTCTTACTGACTACCTCTTGCATACTCCTAACCCTCTCTAGTTTCTGATCTTCGCATATTTCATCTTTAACACATCCTGCCCTACAGCGCTGTATGACCCTTGTAGGTTTAGCACTTGGTTATGATTGTGATAATCATCATAAGTGAGGGTAATTCCATGTGCGGGAGCTCACTTGCTTCTTACAACTTTACGTTCAGTTCATTCATTCATTCATTAGAGGTTTGCCGGTACTTCCGGCCCGGGTCTTCTCCATATGGTGACCCGGCTGTGGCCCCCGGTTGACGTTCAGTCTTCATCACTTACAATGTCTCATGCTGTATGCCACTCGTTTATGGAAATAGACAAACAACTGACACCACTGAGAAGTGTCAGCTCGTATTGTCCATCAAACAATAAAAAATTGTCTTGTATCAGAGTGAACGCAGGAAGAACTTCCGACATCTAAATCGCCCCGACACACATTCTTGCTGGCCACCTTGCTGAAAGTCCCGCCTTTGATGTCGACTCTATTTCTTTGACTTTTTAACTGAAACCAAGGTGGCCCATGACCTGGTGGTCCGGTGGCCTGGTGGCTAAAACTCTCGCTTCACACACGGAGGGCCCGGTTCGATTCCCGGTGGGTGGAAACATTTTGATGCGTTTTCTTGCACCCGTTGTCCTGTTCACCTAGTAGCAAATAGGTACCTGGGTGTTAGTCGACTGGTGTGGGTCGCATCCTGGGGGACAAGATTAAAGACCCCAATGGAAATAGTTAATCCTCGATAACGCACTGACTTTCTTGGGCTATCCTGGGTTGCTAACCCTCCGGGGTTAAAAATCCGAAGAAAATCTTATCTTAAAACTCTCGCTTTACACGGCCAGGGTCCGGGTTTCTTACACCGGTTGTCTATGTTCACCCATCAGTAAAATGGGTACCTGGGTGTTAGTGGACTGGTGTGGGTCGCATCCTGGGACAAAACTGACCTAATTTGCCCGAAATATTCACCATATCAAGTGGCTTTCTATATAGTAGTATGTCATTGATGTCAGCTAGGACTGTATACCTTGTACATGTAGTAAATAAAGATATTATTATTATTATTAGTAGTAGTAGTAGTAGTAGTATTGGAGTTTACCTGGAGAGAGTTCCTGGGGTCAACGCCCCCGCGGCCCGGTCTGTGACCAGGCCTCATGGTGGATCAGCGCCTGATCAACCAGGCTGTTACTGCTGGCTGCACGCAATCCAACGTACGAGCCACAGCCTGGCTGCACTAACTTTGATTTCAATTTTGCTTGCGCTAACCCTTACCCTTAACTTTGTAAAGTAAAAGGACACAAGTGCAACTAATGTGACATTTATTGTGGCAACGTTTCGCTCTCCAGGAGCTTTATCAAGCCATTACAAACAATACATGGACACAGAGGGTATATAAAGGCTCAGAGTGAGGTGAATACTAGTGAGGTACCATTTCGATGTTCACTAGTGGTAGTACTACTACTACTACTACTACCACTAGTGAACATCGAAATGGTACCTCACTAGTATTCACCTCACTCTGAGCCTTTATATACCCTCTGTGTCCATGTATTGTTTGTAATGGGTTGATAAAGCTCCTGGAGAGCGAAACGTTGCCACAATAAATGTCACATTAGTTGCACTTGTGTCCTTTTACTTTACATATTGTCGGTAATTCTACCAACTTTATTACACCCTTAATTTTGCAACCCCCCTCCCCCTCCCCCCCTGGTGTTGATCATTGTTAAGACTTGCACTTTTCCACTTTCACACATCCCCCGCAGTGCTGTGTGACCCTCGTGGGTTTAACACCTCATAATATTAAGATATATGAGTTATCTTGCCTCTCGTGGATTTTAATTTGCCTCAGGAAGTATAGCGTGGGCCGACATCTTCCTGGTGAGGGGCTCTGGATCCAAGGAACAAGGCTCGTCCTTCCCCTTCCTTGGATCGAATTTGAATACTCTCATTCACCAGACGCTGTATGATCCCTGAGGGTTTAGCGCTTATTATTATTTTTATAATTTAAAGAATTGAACTTGTGATCCAATTCCATGAACTAAACCTGAATGCATTCAGTTCCCCAGGCGATGTATGATCACTATGGGCTTAGCGCTCCCCTCGTTAATAAGAAAGTTTATTTAAGAAGGCGCTTCACAGGCACCTGAAGTCAGTACCTGACCAACAGGGCTGTGGTTCCTACGTCGGGTTGCGTGCGGCCAGCAGTAACAGCCTGGTTGAACAAACCCTGATCCACCACAAGGCCTGGTCACAGACCGGGCCGCGGGGGCGTTGACCCCCGAAACCATCTCCAGGTATAGGTATAAGTTACATAGATTATCATACAAAGTGACATAATTATGTATATCTATTGTTGAAGACGAACTTTCTTTAACTAGTTAAACAAAACATAAGTTGATTGCTTTGTGTACTATACGGGTTTTCGATCCATTGAACCCTGGTGGGTTTAGCGCTTAGTTTTGATTATAATAATTCGATCCATTGGTTGACGAAACGTTTTCAACAGTGAAGATAAACAGATGTTTTACAGGTGTTACTCATCCACTTGTACAACTGTGCATAAGTGACTTCACACTGGTGACTAAGAGGGGAGTCCACTGAAGGAAGGTTCCTTGATGATGGTGAGGGGATCTTGATCTAGGGAATTGGATCTGTGCTCCAGTTCCCTGAATTAAGCCTGAATACCTTCCACATCACCCCTCCCCCCCCCCTCACAGGCGCTGTATAAGATAAGATTTCGTTCGGATTTTTAACCCCGGAGGGTTAGCCACCCAGGATAACCCAAGAAAGTCAGTGCGTCATCGAGGACTGTCTAACTTATTTCCATTGTGGTCCTTAATCTTGTCCCCCAGGATGCGACCCACACCAGTCGACTAACACCCAGGTACCTATTTGCTGCTAGGTGAACAGGACAACAGGTGTAAGGAAACGTGTCGAAATGTTTCCACCCGCCGGGAATCGAACCCGGGCCCTCCGTGTGTGAAGCGGGAGCTTTAGCCACCAGGCGTACGGGTTTAGCGCTTCCCCTTAATAATAATAATAATAATAATAATAATAATAATAATAATAATAATAAGAGGGGAGTAAGGGTGAATGTATCTTTCTTTAGGTCACCCTGTATTGATTGGTGAAAGTTGACTGTATGTGGAGATGCATGCTGGTGGACACCGGTGTCTACCGGAGTGTAACACAAAATGCGAGGTCATATAAATAAAGATGGTGAGAGAAGACCAAAAACGGTACCAAATTGGAGGTGAGAAACTATAAATAACACTCAGGGAGACTCCCCTTAAGGTAGGTTCCTTGATGCCGGTGAAGGGGCTCTTGATTCAAGGATTTGGACCTGACTTTCCATTTCTTGAATGTAACCTAACTGACTCCCGTTCCCCTAGACAACGTATGACTCCTATGGGATTTAAATACAGTAGTCAGAGGAATTGTTAGGGTGGACGGATATAAGCTATTTGAGAGGCGGAGAAACAGTTGGAAGTTAGACAAGGACGTTAGGAAGTGTTTCTTCAGTCTCGAGATGGTCAGAAAGTTGAATGACCTCCCTGAAGTGGAGATAAGCTCTATATAGGTTTAAGAGCAAGTACAATAGGGCCCACGAAGCTAGGGTGAAATGAACTAGTCAAGGCTAGGAGCTAAGATTCCAGCTCTGCGACCACACATAGGTGAGTACACTTCAAACCCACACACTGAATCTCACCAAAAGTAAGTTTATTCAGGTATAGGTACACATAAATACAGTTACATAAATTATCATATATAGCAGCATGCGTGTAGATTACCTCTGATCACCCAAAAAAAGTCAAACCATCTTATTTCCATTAGGGTCTTTGACTTATTTACCCTAGTAGGATCCCTAGTGATATCGCTGGGCTGCTCAGCTCACACCAAGGTGAGGACGTCTCGTTTTACCACTGCCTGGAGCACTGGTGACGAATTTTTGGCATGTACACCCAACTACTATAATTCCTTGTACAACTATGTATCATATCCAAATAAACTATATGAATAATTTGCCCGAGATGCTCAGCATAACAAGTGGCTTTCTATGTAGTAGTATGTCATTGTTGTCAGCTAGGACTGTATACCATGTACATGTACTTGTAGTAAATAAAGATTATTATTATTATAATATGACTTTGGTGCTCAATATTGACCGCTGGTGACCCATTGGTCATGGAACCATACATCAGCTTCTAGGCTAAAGGAAAGACTGTTATTACCTACTCAGGTGTGAGAACCCTGGGAGTAAGTGGGTGTCTAGCTTTGCTGGGGTTTAGTCATGGAGATCCATATGTCCTCTTTGGGAGAATTTTTCTTCCTGTTCTTGTTTCTGGAGGAAACTTTGTTACTCCTTCATTTTAAATCCAGATTTGAGCGACATATATCTGCCGGATTCCCTGAAGAAGGGCTTCATGAGGATAAAGCTTTGGTGGCCTTTAACAGCCCCCAACAACAACCACCACTACCACTACTACCACCATCACCTTCACTTCATAGTACTGCTACACCCTAGAACCCTAGAACCCCGGGTGTTATACGCTAGTAGGGCAAGAAGAAGATGCAGGAACTTAACAAGGAAAAGAGAAGTGCTGATGACTTCGTCTCCTGGTCAGGGTGTTGCCCCGTCATCTTGTCTTCTCTTCACTCTTAAGCAAGTTTTTATTTAGGTAATTTATACACTAGTTATATAAAAAAACTTCAGCGGTTTTGAGAGTCTACAGATGCCGTAGACACACAGATAGACAGTAGAATAGTCTGGAGAGTGAAGTAGTGGAGGCAGGATCCATACATAGCTTTAAGAAGAGGTACGATAATGCTTTTTGGAACAGGGAGAGTGGACCAGGAGCTGTGAATCGACGCAGATAGATAGACAGGCAAATACTGTAATTGCATGTACAGTAATTCCATTTGTTTTTCCTGTCATTGGTAGTCTTTGATGAGGTAATCCAAAACAATAAACACATTTACCATCATTCAGTTAATGGTTGTCTTGCCAGAAGTGTTCTGTCATCACAGTTTGAATGACTCTGCATTACAACATCCCCATAAACCCTTCAGAGTGCAGGAACCATACTTCCCACTTTATTTCCCTAGTGTACTGTATGTACATGCAGTGTAATATATTTCAGCTGGAGTAATTACAAATTGCATTTAGTCATTAGTGGTAAAGTATATAAATGCATAATTTTATGATGACTTAACCTTGGATATCATTACAGTTTCTCAAATTTTTATAATTTCATCGGGGTCCCTGTGTTTTTTGAAAACACACATGTATCAATCTTAATATCTTGTAGTACATACGGGTAAAATATCCTCATTGTTTTTATAAGTAATATTCTGTTATCAAAAGTAGACTGACACTATTACCACAGCTTTGGGTAGATGAAGAAAAAGTAATCATTTTACCATAGGACTGAATTTAACACACTGTGTTTACTGGTATACTGTATATGTATATGTGATTAAGTTTGTTACCTTTTTCCTTTCCTAGATTTTCTTTTTTCTTGAAAGAGAGTTGCTGCCAGAGTTTCATAATTTTAAAAAGCTGAGTTTTACATGCTTATAAGTTATTTTTCAGACCATTGACGATTTAAGGCACGATGAAGCGGGGTAGAGAACAAATACCAGAGGAGGAGCCCCTGTCTAAACGCATCAATAATCTTCACCTGGATGGCTCATCTGCCATGCTCAATGGCTCAGCCTCTGGTTTGGCTTCACCTGGTAACCTGCATAACTTAACTGGTAACCCTTCACTCACTGAGAATAATGAAAATTCTATTCAAGATAGATTAACAGGTTTACCAATTGTGCCTATAACAAATGGGCTTGTAAATGGTACATCCAGCCCTTGTGTTAATGGCATTGGTCCTGGCAGTACAGGAAATTTGAGTGACTTTGAAAGAGTAACAAATGAGCTCATAGCCCAAAGGGAACTACCTGAGTCTCTGAACATAGCATACCCTAGCCTGAACCCTACTGATAATGACCAATATTTTAACTTCAATAAGTTATTGCATGATTTACATATTGAAAAGTTAAAAAGACTGGGCAAGGTTCCTCTTTGAAACCATGCAAGATAGTCAAATCGGGTCTTTGAAAGTAAAAAAGTGAGAGGGTACTGTTTGATCCTAGTAATTGAAATGGTGTAAATTTAGCAATAATGATTATATATTTCTATTTGAATCAGATGACATCATACATGATGTAAATAATAATGTGATTCTGAGATTAGACATATAAATGTCAGTGGTGTGTTTTGGAACCTTACTATTTATGCGGCAGCTTGTGTGGGTTAGAGAGTGAGTGACTGACTGACTGACTGACTGACTGACTGACTGACTGACTGACTGTGACTGTGTGACTGTGTGACTGTGTGACTGTGTGACTGTGTGACTGTGTGACTGTGTGTGTGTGTGTGTGTGTGTGTGTGTGTGTGTGTGTGTGTGTGTGTGTGTGTGTGTGTGTGTACACTCGCCTAGTTCTCACCTAGTTGAGGTTGCAGGGGCTGAGTCCAAGTGTGTGTGTGTGTGTGTGTGTGTGTGTGTGTGTGTGTGTGTGTGTGTGTGTGTGTGTGTGTGTGTGTGTGTGTGTGTGTGTCGTGTGTGTGTGTCATGTGTACTTGAAAGATTCACATTGGTACATCTCACCTTAATTTCTGAAATTTTAAAAAGAATCTCATGTTTGGCATACCTATTTCTTTCTAAGAAATTCATCACTTAGCTATATTATTAATGCCTATTTATGCTGGAGAATTTATTTATTACATATATTTAGAGATTATAGTATTACCTAGTTTGACATCATGAGAATGTTTAAAGTAAAGTGAAATGTTAACGATAAGAATGCATACGTGTTTAAGTTGATCTAGATTACACTTAAGAAATGTTTCCATTTATGATATCTTCTGTCAAACTGGTCTACTGCTACAAGTATTTTCAAAATTGTTGCTCACTTATTATGAAAAATACTTAACTCTTTATTTTTACCTTATGAGTAAATTTAGTTTGTATGCCTCATAGGTATTTTTCTTTGCAATTTATTAATTCTGCATTTGCAGAATATAATGTCATAGGTTTTGTTATGTATCTAAAATCTTTGAAAGTTTGCCATACATGTATATTGTTTTGAATGTCCATTTCATTAAGGAAACACACAATTCTTTGTAACTCCTCCCTAAAACCCATTGAATGTTGTTTGAAATATAATCATGTGATTTTGTGCTTACAGTTTGAATTATTCCTCTGAAGTGCATTCCCAGATTGTACTGTTTAGCAATTTGGGTTGTACTCACCAAAACATAAATTGTTTATTGTAGTTTGATTGCATAAAAATTGCTGAATTGTTAATTTTTTAACATGCTCCTTGTACAGCATTTAATACCTTTAGCCAGGTTGCTAGTTGTCAATGAGTACTATCTCTTAGTATCATGTAGGCTACTGGCATACCTGTTTAGTCATCAGACATACTACTGTCATTCTCTCATGTACATTCTTCAGAGATCATCCGATTGTCTTCGACCATTTTATCATCTTTGTAACATGGATGTTGTGGAGAAATCACTCTCTGGTCATTACTACTTGTTTATCTGTACTATTATGTACCATGTGGCTTAGTAAACATTGTATGATGTGTCATGTATGTCTACAACATTTAACTGTCTGTGGAATAACTTTTTTGTACAGTAATTGTACAGAATATAGATGTTCCGTGTAGCTGGTTTCCTTGAAATAGATGTTTAGACAGACTTCATAGTATCCATTAAATTTTCACAAGTTAAATGTAGGAAAAAAATTTTTTAATGTAACCCCCTATTAGTTATAGTACTGTGGAACCTTGGTACTTGAACTTAATTCGTTCCAGAAGCTGTTCGAGTGCTGATCTATTCAAGTACCAAACAAATTTTTCCCAACCAATTTTCTTTTTGATTGGCTATTATGACTAATCTTCTTAGGCTCCATGGTAACTTATTTAAACAAATATAAAAAAATACCAAAAAATGCAAAGGAACATGAAATAGTTCACAGCGAAGTTCTGGTAGGTCATGTTTGTTTGGTCGAGTGCCGAGGAAATGGTCAACTGCCGAGTGATTTTTTTACTGAACAAAGTTTGAATACCAAATTGTTCAAGTAGGAAGCTGTTCGATTACCAAGATTTCACTGTACTTGATTGAAGCATAACTTGACACAGTTGTTGTGATAAAACAATTCAAGAGTGTTTGAGAGATGCAGTTTCAAAAAAAGAGTTTGTAGGGGTTTTGTACGAGCAAGGCAGTCAAAATTTTGTGTGTTCTTCAGTATACAAATTTAGATGGTTTCATTCTTTCCTGGACCATTATGAAGTCACAGCTGTTCTTAACTATTATTTTAAAACTTTCTTAAAGCATCAAACAGGTTGATGCAGATTGTTAGGGAGGGTAGTTTTAATGTTGTAATTATGGCATATCTCTGAATTCATTTATATGGCCTATTATGGTATAAACTGGTAGAGAATTGAATCCATCACCAGATGCAATTTGATAACACCATTCTCTTTTCATCTTAACATTCATTATTATATTCTTTGTAAATATTCCTTTTGCCAAGTTGTTTTGGAAAATAATGAATTGTTTTCTAACTATACCTGGTTTCCATTGCAATCAATTATGAAAACTCTTTGACTTAAGAAACTCAATTTATGTGAAGGTTTCAACATTGGTAAAGTATCTTGGCCCATAGAGAGCCTTTGCTATGGGCCATTCAGAAAATGGATTTTTTTCCATTACTATTCAGTACTCTGTATAATTTGATGGATCACAATTGTGAAAAACCAGCACGCTATTTCTTTGTAGTGAATGTCAAGTAGCTAACAAACTACGAAAGTCAAATACACATATCAGGTTAGGCCTCTCATTAAACGATGCCTTGCTCCTAGAGTTTTAGCATCATATTGTATACTGTATACAGTACCAGTATATCAAGTATAGAGACTTAATAAAATCCGAACTTAAGGGGGCTACAGGGCAAATTTCGTAACTCGTTTATTTACCGTCCGATTTTCTCCAGTTTTGGTGCACAAGACAAAGTGTTCTCACTCTTTCTTGAAAATATTTATAAAAAATATACCTCAAACAACAACTGAGAAAAGACTGATTTACTGAAAATGCCCTTGATGTTGATGTAACTCTTATATGCGGCTACGTAAGGTGGTTTGGACACTTGGTGCCGAGAGAACAATGCTAATACTAATTCGGACCGTAAGATTTCCCTCTAAATACCTTATCGTTATTTCACAAAAAAATAAAGTTTGTTAGTATCTGGAATATGGCAAAAAAATCTGCCCTTTACTCCCACATAACTCCCGAAGTATTTGGAATATTTCCAAAAATTCTACGGTCAAAATAAGAGAAATCATTATTTTACAATATCTGTGAATATTATTCCATTTAATTAAGTAATAAAGGACCCACATCAAATTATAGGTGAATAAGTTACTTCCGAGATATCGGCCGGGAACGCCGGCCGGCCCCCGTCTCAAAAAAAAAAAAAATTTTTTCGCGAAAATCGCGTTTGTTTGGGTGTATTTCTTAGTAAAGTGATGTTCTAGTGCAGTTAGCCTCTAAACACCGTTTTCTCTTACTCAGAGACGACAGGGTGACCAGTTACACTTTTATATCGAAATATTCCCGATAATCTCTGGGCCATATTATGGCCTATTTTATTCAGTCTAGAGTATATAACATGTTTGTATATTATTTAGAGTGTTTATTATATCATATTAGATCAATTCTGATAGACAAATAAGCCGTAGAGTTGATATATAAGCTGATATAAGCGAAATAATGGGTGATTCCTGGCTGGCACCTCGGGAGCAGGAACACTGCTGAGCGTTCCCGTCTGGTTCCCGGTAGTCACTAAGTCTGCCGATAAGCTCCACCTACTGTTTTATGATGCCAAATAGTCAGTTATTATATTAGAAAGAATAATGCAAGAAAAGGCGATAAAAAACAAGAAAATAACTCCAAAAAATATATAGGCCGTGAGCAGACTCGGTACCAACATCGCCGTCACCATACCTGATATAAATGACTATAATTTCTTGTAGAAACGTCGTAGAACATTCATTCTGGTACCATTGTGTTGCCAAAGAGTTGAGCTATTTTTCAGTATATATAACTCAATTTCCATATTTTTTCGATTTTTCGGTGAGCGCGCGCGGAAAATTGCCCGCCTCCCCCCTTAAGAAGAAACATTATTGAATAAAAAATGCTCCATCTGCTACGTGTATTTCACATTATTAATGCAGCATCTCTTTAGTTAACAATCCTAATCATCATTGGGCTTCTTGCTTGTTTGCATGTACTATTAGAGACTGTCAGCTAAACTACTACTTGTAACTAGGCAGTAGTATATTGTACTGGAGCAAATTTCTTTTTAATATTTGTACTATTGTTTAATCCTCATTTTATGAAAGATACAGTCATACCTCGTTTTGTCATTTCGGCTTACATTAAATTTACCTTTAGGTCACTTTTCTAGATTAAATTTCCAGTCAGCGAATATCATTACGTCTGACATTATGTCACTCAGCAATGTCGACTACATAATAATTAAAGGATGTAAAATAAATTTTTCCTTAAAAATATATTTAAAATACGTAAATAAAACACACAGAATTAACAGTAAAAGATAAAAGAAGCTAAAAACAATTTAAAATACAATAAAAACACATTAAAAATATAAGAAAATGTAAACATATACAATAAAATATTTACATCAAAAAACTGTAAACAAATGTCTGTCATTACGTAGTTTGCCATCTTGTTGCATTGCTGCTGGTTCTCATTCAGAACAAGGGCAGTGCCATACACATTTTTGCCCATGCTGCAACTGTGTGCTTGTTTTTCCTTTCGCTATTATTTTTGTTGTTATTCCTTTACTGTGTCTGTGTTAGCCATGGATCCTAAGAAGGATAGTGCTAGTGATTCCAAGCGTAATTGGTTACGATGGAAGATAAGTTAAATGTGATTAAAAGGTATGAAAAAGGTGAAAAAGTGTCGGGTGAAGGTAAATAATATAATTTTATTAATTTTATTTATTATTCTTTACAAATTAAGACTAAAATATTCTTTAATGTCTTAATGAGAGTTAAGATCACAAGCTAAATAGTAAAATAATTTTTTAATTGTGTTCATTATTCTTTAAAAAACATGACTAAAATATGGTTTTAGTGTTCTTTAAAGGTTTAGCGATAGTTATATTCTTTCACAAGTTATTTATGCTAGTTATACAGTGTTGTTTTCATTTTAAGGTATTTATAAGGCATTACGTCCCATTTATGTCAAAAACCGGGTTACGTCATGGCTCTTGGAACCATTTAATGATATAGGGAAGGGTATGACTGTATTATAAAAGCAAGTTCACATTCCTTTAGGTGATTGAGGAAGGTCATGTTGTGTTATTGCTATTATATTCTATAAATCATGTTAAGTAGTAGATATTTTTTGTATTGACAGAGTAAACTACTTTGCTATATCTTTCTTCTTTCTTTCAACACACCGGCTGTACCCCACCAAGGCGGGGTGGCCCAAAAGGAAAAACGAAAGTTTCTCCTTTTACATTTAGTAATATATACAGGAGAAGAGGTTACTAGCCCCTTGCTCCCGGCATTTTAGTCGCCTCTTACAACACGCATGGCTTACGGAGGAAGAATTCTGTTCCATTTCCCCATGGAGATAAGAACTAGAAAGAAAATAGAAGAAAACCCAGAGGGGTGTGTATATATATGCTTGTACATGTATGTGTAGTGTGACCTAAGTGTAAGTAGAAGTAGCAAGACATACCTGAAATCTTGCATGTTTATGAGACAGAAAAATTACACCAGCAATCCTACCATCATGTAAAACAATTACAGGTTTCCGTTTTACACTCACTTGGAAGGATGGTAGTTATGTTATGTTAATCTCCAGGGTTTATTACTTGGACCTCAGCAATGAGAGTGGCTACTCTCACCGCTGGGCAACGGCAACCAGTGCACAGGACGGTAATACCTCCCTGGGTGGTTGCTGTCTACCAACCTACTACCTAGGACTTTGCTATATATCATCATCTAAACCTTTTGGTGTGAGTTCACTCATCGTCTCATCACCGTCTATGTATGTGACGTTGAGCAAGAAAGTAAAGTAGAATTAAAATAGAATTCTAGAACTAGTCTGTATCTGCACGTGTAACAAATGTTAAAAATCTAAGAAATCTTGAGGATTATTTACCACTAACTGGACTATAATTGGATCATAAATTGTCATTAATTGTTAGTATTTAAAGAAAATTATGCCAATACAGTGTAGTAAACTACCCATCTGGATTCTGGGAACTGAAAAATGTAGATGCAATTGGTGAAATCCATTCTTTATAGTATTATTTGATTATCCCTATGTTAAATTTTGAAGAGGAAAACCGCTCCATAACATATACAGTATGTTTTTAACAGAACAGCTGTCTCCCACTGAGGTAGTGTAACCCAAAAATAAGAAACACTCACCATCACTCACCCTATCACTGTTTTGTGAGAAGCATTCTAACATTACAGTTCAGATGCCCCTTCAAACCACAACATCCCCACCCTTTCCTCAGAGTGCAGACACTATACTTCCTATATCCAGGACTCAAGTCTGCCTAACTAGTTTCTCTGAATTCTTTCATAAATGTTACTTTGTTCACACTCCACCAGCATGTTAAGTCATAAAAACCACTTGCTACCACTTATCTAACAGGCTTGCACATGCTTCTTGGATGTCAAAGCCCCTTTCATACAAAATCTCTTTTTACCACCTCCTCCTCCCAGCCTTTCCTAGGATGACCCCTACTCCTCCTTCCCTCCACTACAAATTTATACAGATTCCAAGTCATCCTATTTTGCTCCATTCTCTATGAATATGCAAACCATCTCAATAACCTCTCTGCATAATATTCACACTACACATTGCCCTCAGACATGACATCACTGCTCCAACCTCCTCGTCACTGCAACGTTTAAAACCCATGGTTCACACCCATGTAAGACAATTCCCTTTTTGCCTCCGTGGTTAACATTCTTTGCCTCTACAACTGCTCATTGCACCACCCACCTTTTATCTTTCATCAGTTCTATGGTTTATGTCATCCTTCATAGACCCGTTCGCTGACAAGTCCACTCCCAAATTTCTGAACACATTCACTTTCTCCATACTCCCTCCTGCCAATTTGATATCCAGTCTTTCATTACCTTAATTTTTTATTACTCTCATCACTTTGCTCTTTCCTATGGTTAAGTCTGTTACTTATTTTTCAGTGCAGTGCTCTAGTTCATAAGATCTTCCCATAATACTGGTTTAGTGCTTAATTCGACAATAATACTGTAATTCTCATTTTTTGCATTGCTGTGAAACAAAGTTGTATTGTGTGGTACAAAAATTTATTGCATATTATTTGGAAGGGACCAACATGCTGTTTGATAGTGGAATAACAAAGATAAGTTCAGTACTTTTCTAAGATTGAAAAGAGTATGAGTACATAAATTAATTGCAGGTATATTCATCATAATGCAATGAACTTTTACATTATTAGTGACTTTGGTGTTATTTGTCAGTGTGCTCAGATGGAAAAAAAATTTTTTAATAACGTTTATAATATACCTATTAGTTATTTTTTAACTTAGCTGTGATGTGGTTGAAAGCTTCATGAATCATTCATTGTGTATAAACAATGTTGAAGATCATTTGTACAGGTACGGTGTAGTTAAAACAATATTAGTGGCTAGTGAAATTGGTAAGGATATGTCTGGTTGTGCTTTGTGTAACAGCATCAGACAAGGTGGTAAAACATGAGTCCCACTGAAGGCTTGCTTTGGCTTCATACATTTATGTACCCGAAGTTACATTTATGTAACTTCAGGTACTTATTCGAGTTTGTGGGTGTGAGCTTCAGCTCTCAGACCCATCGTATTTCTTAACTTTCAACTGACTGAGTTGATTGACTCTTATGTCTATTTTTTGAACCGCCTTATGGAGTTTTCTTCCACTGTGTCACTGCCTAGTCATTCCACTTAATTCCATTCTACTGTAGTGTTGAAAGGTACCTACACCAGACTACACTTGCCACTAGTACTGCCTTAATGATACTGACTTTAGTCTTTTGTATTGTATCTTCATTGGAGAAATTTTTTACTCTCTGGTTTAAATACTTCATCAATGCTCATTTTGTAGGTGATTTGTGAAGTTCAGCTAGTAATGTGTGTGTGAATATTTATGCATAATTTTTTCTGTCTACCTATACCATAATGATTTGTGATTTTTCTATGAATATTACAGTCATTAATTGTTATTTTGTGGGTGACTTGTTCACATTGATTTGCTGGTAGACAGCAATATGAATCCCAGTAACTGCCAATGTTAACCACTCAGGAAGAAGAGATCATATGCATTGAACAAGGTGCTTCATAACACAGACCACAACATAATTGGAAGGCTGTTGGGTATAATGAAGTACAATATTATACAAGATGCAGTATTTGTTGGGCTTTGATGTTTTTTCAGCTAAATGCTCAAGAACTTGCCAAATGTTGAATCAGTCTGGAGAAGCTTTTATAAATAAAGTTCTTTCAGTTGCAGTAAAATTATAATTATGTATTTCCTTGATTGCAACCTTCAGTTAGAAATTGGGTATGAACATTAGTAAACGGTTATATGTTCATTTGTAATCAGCCAACTTTGAGAGATATTGGATGACTGAGATGTTCTAGATATTGTTTTTAAATTTGTATTTCAACAGTGTACCTTTATCTTTGAGCAGTTTTTTTTTTATAAACCTTCTACACAAGTAATCCTCTGTTAATGGTGTTCTGTATCTTTTTTTTTTAGCATACAAGAGCAGACATGTTAGGAAACGAATTCACCCCTCCAGGCTTACCAATGATGACATACATTAATTCCTTAAATATGAATTGTGACTTCTGCACACTTCTTATAAAGCAGCTAGTTAATGAATGATGGTAATTTTTTTTTTCTGGGGGGGGGGGGGGGGGGGAATCTTGGAGTTACCCAGTGTTAAAAAAGGCTATAATGGCATTAGCTTAAGAAAAGCATATGGTGTCTGGAAAGTCTGTTAATCCTGTGGCTAGTTTTTCAGTTTGGATTTTGAACCACAAAGGCATATTTCCTTAAATATTCCTCCAAGGCACAAAAAATCCTTCAGAATATTTTTCTAAAAGGCATATGGATGCAATAAAAACTCAACACATTATTAAAAATACAGTACTGAGATGACTTCTTTTTAAAAATTGAATAGTAGTACAGTGGTACCACGAGTTTCGAACAGCTCCCAACTCGAACAATTATGTAAGTATTTTTCGGGGTCTGAAACGGACTAATCTAATTTACATTATTCCTTATGGGCACAAATTCGTTCGGTAATGGCACTCGAACAGCCTTCTGGAACGAATTAACTTCGTAACTCTAGGTACCACTGTATTTTGGATTTGTGTTCACAAAATTTACAGTAGGTTGACAGTCTTTATTTCAACCCATACTTAATGATTTGATGCAAACAACAATGAAATGCTTGACCTGCCAATAATTCCAATCTATGCTAATAAGGAAAATGTGTGGTTATGAACAATTGAGAGAATTTATATCAATGTCAGCATTTTAAACACATTCTACTGCGTTTTCTGACATTTTGTCATTCCAGATGTCTCTGGGTAAGAAAGAGAAAGCTTTAGAACATAAGAACATAAGAAAGGAGGAACACTGCAGCAGGCCTGTTGGCCCATACTAGGCAGGTCCTTTACAATTCATCCCACTAACAAACATTTGACCAACCCAATTTTCAATGCTACCCAAGAAATAAGCTCTGATGTGCAAGTCCCACTCAAATCCAACCCCTCCCACTCATGTACTTATCCAACCTAAATTTGAAACTACCCAAAGTCCTAGCCTCAATAACCCAACTAGGTAGACTGTTCCACTCATCAACTACCCTATTTCCAAACCAATACTTTCCTATGTCCTTTCTAAATCTAAACTTATCTAATTTAAATCCATTACTGCGGGTTCTCTTGTAGAGATATCCTCAAGACCTTGTTAATATCCCCTTTATTAATACCTATCTTCCACTTATACACTTCGATCAGGTCTCCCCTCATTCTTCGTCTAACAAGTGAATGTAACTTAAGAGTCTTCAATCTTTCTTCATGCAGTCCTTTATTAACGATGTTTTGCCCACACAGTGGACATTTATTATTTATAATAAACGGATGTTTGTGGCTTGATTAAATCCACTGTGGACGAAACCTTGCCAATAAAGAATCGCATTGTTAATATTGGTAGAATTACTGACTATGTTAAGTAAAATGACAAATGCAACTAATGTGACATTTTATTCTGGCAATGTTTCACTCTCCAGGAGCAAAACAATACATGGACACAGAGGGTATATATAGTCTGAGTGAGGTGTAGTACAAGTAGAGGTAGTAGTAGTTATACATGTGGTGGAAAAGTCAGCTGGTACACGAGTAAGAAAGGTTACAAAAGCTATGGCTTGGGTAGCATAAAAAATAGGTCGGTGGTCAAATGTATAAGGATGGATTTGAGAAGGCATGTTTCAGTGTCCCTCCTCTTATTACACAAGAGCATAGGAAAGGAGGAACACTGCAGCAGGCCTGTTGGCCCAAACTGGGCATGCCCTTTATGTAGTAGCAATTATGTGATGGCAGGGTTTACTGTTTTCAGGAGAATTCTCACTAAGACTTCAGAGATGATGAAACTGCCTTTGTATTGTGTTACAAACAGCGATTAATGCCGATTCAAGGCATTTGCGTTTGCGGAAATTAGGTTCTTTAAATCACTAATTGGGCGGGCATCCCTGAATTTCACAAGATGATTGGCAAAATTTCGGTGTTGTATGCTGGCGTTGTTCAAGCTGTTGTTCCTACATGTATAAATGTGTTCATCAAGGCGTGTTTCGAGGTTGCTTGCTGTTTCGCCTACATACACTAACTATCCTGTCAGCCTCCACAGGGTATAGTGTAAACCCCCTGCATTATACTGTATTTTTTTCCATGTTGGTATTTTATGCCACCTCTCTTCAGACTTTGATATTTTAGGTTAGGTTTGGTTAAGGTAATGTCAATCCACCAACATTACTAGTTGTAAACTAGTGTAGAAATTAAGTACTTGACCAGGAAGTACATATATGTATATTTTTCTTGGTAATTCACATACACAAGTTTTCTTCTAATCCCATGTGACTGCATGACTTTCTTATTAGGTCATGTTTTAGTGACTAGTGTCCTCAGGATGTTCCCCTCAATGCTAGTAAGGGGCTCTTGATCCAAGGCATTGGACCTGTGCTCCAATTCCTTTAACCAAGCCTGGATGTCTTGCACTCCCCAGGTACTGTATGACCCCTTCTAGTTTAGTGCTTCTCCTATGAATGTAATAATCATATGAAGATGTGTTCAGCACTTACACGAGTTACCACTGTGGAAGTGAAGAGGGGGCAAGTAGGCAGCTCAAAATTGGCGACTCACAGGAACAGGTTTTTGGGCAACTTCCAGTGTCAGGTCATATGCAGTACTGTACAATATTCGATTTTGTACTTAAACTGCATTGAGTCTAAGCATCTCAAAGGATGATCATAGTTTTGTTGCTAAAATATGTAAACTATAGATGGAAGAATATACAAACATGAAGTAGGTTGAGCAAGTGCCTATCCTGTCAGGTGTTTGCACCGAGGTTAAATAGTTGATCCCCTCAATGACATCAAGGCACTCTCCCTTGAGAGAAAAAGGGCATGTTGAAATTAAGGATGTATTTGACATTGTAGCCAGTTGCAAGCATGGAAAAGTATTAGTATAATTATATTCACGAGGAAACTCTTAACCTAAAGTAATCAGGTTCAAAGGGAAAGATGGCTCTTCATTTCTTGATCAGTTATTAAAATCAAAACCAAGCACTAAACCCACCAGGGTCATACAGTGCTGCTCCTTGGACCATAAGCCCTTCACCTGTATGGAAAAGTTTCATAGATGCTGGAGAGAGAACATAAGAAGCAAACCAAAGGTAAGAACTGGTTAACTTTTTTTTAACACATCAGTTGTTTCCTGCCAAGGCAGGGTGACCCAAAAGAAGAAACTTCCATCATTCACTCCATCACTGTCTTGCCAGATGTGTACCTATATTAATATAAACACAGTGTCAAACATCCTCTACCACGTTCATAAATCATGACCGGCAGGAAGGACTAGAGGGTAAGGAATAACAAAGGGAGAGGGATGTTATTAAGGTCATGGTGTGCAGTGAAGTGAAAAAAAAACAAAAAAAAAAAAAAAAAAAAATAAAAATACCTTCAGAGTGCAGCACGTACTTCCACTAGGAGTAGTCCAGTCACCAGTTTTCCTGAATCCTTTCATTAATGTCCTGCCAACCCACAGCTGAAGATATGTTTTATTATTATAATCAAGGGGAGGGAGCGCTAAACCGGAGGATTAAAGCGTGCAAGGGGAAAGAGGATGTGGAGGCATAGGCTAATTCGAACTGGAGCACAGATCCAATTCCCTAATTCAAGAGCCCTCACCAACATCAAGGAACCTTCCCTGAGGGGTGTCAAGACATAAAAACCATTCATTTCCACTCCAGTTAAGATGTATATATGCTGTATAGCCCTTGTGGTTTAGCACTTTTTTTTTATTATAATTAAGATGTATATAATTTATAACTGTCAAAATATTTAATTTCATTATTTTATCTTAGTCATCCAATTCTGCTCTATCTTTTCTAAATGCCTTTACCCCCTCAAGAAACTCTCCACCTTCTGATATCTTAGGCGAGCACAAATAGGAAGCGCATCTGTCTGGAGGTCAGATGGAGGATCAAGCCTCCACCATGTCTTGTGCTGAATGACCCCACATGGGTTTAGCACTTAGCATGAAAATAAGTCCTCCAACCTCTAAATGGTACCTTCCATAGCTGCATGCAGTTGTGCTAGGTACAAAATAGTTTTTAGGGGAAAGCACTAAATCAGGAGTCAAAGTACCTTGGCAAATGGGAAGCTGTTAGGTTCAGTCCAAAAAAATGTCAGATTCAACTTTGCAAACAAGAGGCTGGGTCGCCATCTGGAGAAGACCCGGTCCGGCAGTACTGGCGAACCCCCCCCCCCCATCCTCCCTCACTGGTATCATGGAACCTCCCTTAAGGGGCAAGGGTGTACAAATTCAGGGTGGAATAAAGAGGCAGGGTTCAGCCCAGTGGGGTGTGTGAAGATTACACAGTAGGGACTTTAGCAGCCAGTAGGTGCACAAGAGTGCAATCATTGGGGAAAAATGTAAAGAGGTTATGTGCTTTTGACAGCGCTGTATTGCCCTTGTGGTTTAGCACTTCTTTTTTATTATAATAATATGTGCTATTGAAATGTGAGCAAACTGGTTAATGGGAACTACACTGGAGGGAGGGGAGGGGGAGGGGATGTTATACATAGTTCTTAGGGTAATTTCAATTGTGATATAGTACTGTGACCCTTGTGGGTTTAGTGCTTAGTTACGATAATCCTGAATGAGTGATGTGGATTAGAACAGTTGTCCTTGACTCACGAAATCGTAATGACACTAGTGCAAACAAACCATACCACGGACGGGGATAGAACCCGCGATCTGGAGTTTTGAGACACTGATTGCGGGTTTTATCCCCATCCGTGGAGATTGCTAAATTTAGAATTTTTATATTTTTCAGTAATTACAGTGGAACCCCGAGTTTTGGCCGCAATCCATTGCAGGAACTAGGCCTAAACTTGAAACTGCCGAAATGTGAAGCAATATTTCCCATAAGAAATAATGTAAATAAAATTATTTTGTTCCAGACCCACAAAAATATTCGCAAAAAATACATTTTTTAAAGAATAAACTAGTTTTACATACAACACAGATAAATGCATATATAACAAATTACAGTTTAGATAAACCATTTAAAATAACATTTACTTACCTTTATTGAAGAGACTTGCTGGCATCTCGAAGATAGGGGGAGGACTTAGTTTGGAAGGGAAATCCCCTTCCATGAAGCCTAGGTAACAAGTCCTTATCTGGGGTTTCTTCCCTTGTTTGTACATCCTGGCAAGCTCCCCCACACGAATGCCACTCATTTTTCTACTGTCTCCTTCACTGCTACAGTGTTCCTCACTTTCTTTACCACAGGGCCCATGGTGGCTAATTTCAGTCACAATTAGTGGCTGGATGGCTGGCTGACAGGATGACAGCGCAGGGTAATGTTCACTCAAGGATAAAAAAACGCTAGACTGGCTCACGACGCCTGTGCAGGGAGGCGCGCAAGCGCGGACAGGTCTGGTACACCGGCCAAAATGCGGGACAAAATTTGGCAGAAAAAAAGCGGCTGAAACCCGGGGTATTTTAACTTAATTCAGGTTTACTAGCTACACATTCCTAATTCATTCACACATGATTATAAGTGCTAAACCCATAAGGGTCAGTTATAAGAAGTAAAAGGATAATGTAATTCAGATATTCATATTTATTTTATTACAAAAAAGATTCTTAACACAGCCTGCAGCATAAGTATAATTTACAGCCAAGATATAGTAGAATAAATACATATATCAAATGAATTATGTAATGAAATAAATGAACAAAATTTTGATAAATGATCATTTCCTGAAAATTATCTCCTTGAGAATGTGTGATAGTGAAAGTGATGTATTACATGAGCTTATTTTGAGAGCTATGTACAGTACCCTATTTCATACTACAGAAAAGTTTTATACTGTACTTCAGGAAACCTTTTTCTGTCTGAAAATTGAGGGTAAAAGGAACTTGTCTCAGATTGCCACAATTTTTTATATATGGTTGTATATAATTACATGTAATAAATTTTTGACAGTATGGCAGGTACTGAAAGCCTAAACATGTAGGTTATGGTATGTATAAGAACTTTAGTATGGTTATTTAATTGGGAGGAGCGAATGTGCTTAATGTGACAATTTCAGAGCTTTTAAATGGCTAATGACCAAATGAATTCATAATTTTCAAACATTTAAAATGCATCACAAAAGTCAATACGGCAGTCTTGTTACCACATGAATAAGATTTTACTCTATATTTAAAAACATTACAGTATATGGTAGTAATACAGCAATTTAAAAAAAAAAAAAAATAACCAAGTGTACACATGTCTACAAATCATGGTAATGAAAACACGAAGTTGCACATCTGAATGTCACAAGGCAAATGTGTTCAAGTTTTAACTGAGAATTCAGCCTTAAGTTCTGTACGTAGTATACAGCAGTTAGTTGAAAATTTAATTTACACATTGGTAATTTCCCATATTGCAAAAGTAACAAATTATGCAAGAACTCCTGGAGCTCCAAACCAGCAACCATGCAATTGCAAGTCCACTAATATATTGACTTATCACTGAATTTTTTTTTTTGCCAACAAAGTCAGTAAAGTATCAACTGTCTTTGAAGTTTAGTAGAGCTCCCAGTACCTTGTACGTAAATCGAATACTTTCCTAGAGAAATTTTTAAGTTTCATGTTTGTAGTATGTGCAAGTGTCATTTTTAAATTCACACAAGATTACAAGAATGTCATTATAATAATCTTTTCAAATGTGAATATATTTAAGCGTTGAAACTTTCACAAAGAGAATTCATTATCTATCATTTTCACCATGTTAAAGTAGACTGATCTCGGGCCTATATATCAACTGCAACAATTGCCATATACCATCATTAAATTCAAAGCACTGTACATTATGCAAACATTTGGCAAAATTCTGAATAGTGCATATTAATCTATAGAAAACTAGTGCAATAATTTTGCTTGTGGTAAATGTAACAAACAAAATTTTGGAATACAGGATTTTACAAAAGCTTTACATGAGCAGATTTAAAGGTTTTTAACCAAAAACTAAAATACAGCTGCTGCAAAAGGAGGCATTTTACTGTCATTAATACTCAGACATTTGTAAATACATATAAAAAATTGGTGAAGCTTCCATGAAAGCAGGTAACTCAATTGAACATGTACATCTAGAACATTTAAACTTTAACAGCCACTTTTTTGTTATGCAACACTACTAGCCCATAGCTAACTAAAATATATTCATTGCATAGTTTAGCAAATTACAAAAAAAGTTTACATGAACTTGAATAATTTCTCACATGGGAATAATATGACTTTTGCAGCTAATAAACTTCATAATTTGCAGTTTACATGGCAAGATTTTAATATGGGCTATGTAGAAACTCTTTTCATCAGGTCAGGCGAGTTACAAAAGAAATTATATAAACAGGTGCAGGATCTTTTTGCATCCTGGTTAATAAACAGACACTAGTAACAGCTTTATATTAGTCATCATGCAGCCTTTGCCGATGATAATCAATACCCCATCACACTGCATATAGCATGGCACTATCCTCACCACCAAAGGAAATGTAACTATGAATTGGTGGCATTCAAAGACTAGTGGCTAGTGCCCATCTCTTGCCATTTTTGGAACATAACCATTGTTCTTTACACAACCAAATGTCCTCAGAATGGATATTATACATCCTTAATTTTTTTTTTTTGTACTGGCTAATATCACATGATTCTATCACAAATTCAAAGCTTTAAAGCCATCATAAATTTGAAGGATATAAATCCTTTTGCAGTTTTGGAGTTTAGATTTTATTTCCAAAAGTTCTGATATCTCTGCACCTGTTTAATGCACTTGAGGTTTGCTGCACTCATGCACCACTTGTAGTCTTCTCCTGATACTCTGGGAGGTCTGGCAATATTGTATTGCACCGACTGAAGACAGGAAAATCTTGCTGTACAAACATGATAATGACAGCCCCACTACAGATACACAAGGTTATATTTTCATCATATAAATACCACCTTCGTGTTGTAGTACGAATTATGTCTATCAAGCTCCGATCGCTGACTACTCTAGACAAAGTATCAAGTTAGCTTCTGTTGGCATTTAATTAGCAATTTAATTAAATACTGTATTAACAATAGGTTCTTTATACAGGCCCCACGATTAGGGTTTTCACATTCTATGTACTAAATTGGATGGTTTTATCTTAGAAAGCAACTTGATTACCTGCCATTAAGCATCAATGATGAAATAAATTACACTGATATAAAACTTAAAAAGCCAGGATTATCATTATCATGGTTCAACTTCTACAGGTGAGTAATGCAGCAGGTAAAGTGTACCTGACCTGCCAGGCTGTTATAGTAGTGCCACCCCAGCAGAGATTCTATGGTAGGAACCTCCATCACCAAGGACTCATGAAGACGTTGACAGGTCTTCCAATCCTTGTACCAAAACATCCTCGGCAAGGAAAGAGGGAACAGCTGGTCGTTCTTCGCTGGAGAGGCCACATTCTCCTTCCCAATGTGCCTTGCCCACACTGTGTGACTAAAGTAATGTAAATGTTAGTACTGATAACTTAATGTATATCATATAGAGTACTGTACTGTATTTTATATGAACATGCAATACTGTTATGAAAGTTCAGTTTACAGTACAATTTAATAACTATAAAGGTATGTTGCGTGTTAATAAGTCAAACATTAAAATTGACAGTAAGCTTTTAAATTTTAAAAACTTAATCCCCTACACTATTTACAAATTCTAAAATAAAATTTTGCAAAATACCTAAACTTGAGATTCTTTCAACACACCGGTTGTATCCCACCGAGGCAGGGTGGCCCAAAAAGAAACCCTGAAGATTTTTTAAATTTAGTAGTGTTTACAGGTTACTAGCCCCTTGCTCTTGGTATTTTAGCTGCCTCTTACAACACACATGGCTTACAGAGGAACAATTCTATTCCACTTCCCCATGGAGAAACTTTAGATTATATTCAACAATTTATGTAATTTACTTACCATTGAAATATCCCTTCGCCAAGAGCTATGGCATTTCCCATCACACAATGGACATGGCCTTTCTAAAGAATATCCTCCACACTCTCGGCAGTCAAGAGAAACGTGATTATCGCTCCAACTAACTCCGCAACTGTAGAAATAAAAAAAAAATTAAGTTTTGTTACACTGGAGAACATGGACCTTATTTATCCCAAACTTTTTCTCTATCACATTATGAAACTTTACCTTTGCAAGTAACCCTTGCTTAATGGTTTCCTATACAACTTCTCATTTACCACAACAAGGGAGTAACAATCTTAATGCATCCATTTAAAAAAATATCACAGCAGCTCACCCCCACCATCAGCCAGGTGGTGGCTCAAACATTTGGCACATGCAAACAAGTATACACAGTGGTGGTTTTTTTTTTTTTTTTTTTTTTTTTTTTTTACAAAGGGTGGTGTAAACACTTTTGGGGGCAACATGCTTTACTTTAAAGTACCAAGGCATTACTGTGACTTACAAGTTAACCACATCCCTCTTCCCTGCAAAGCTGGTGGGGAGAATTTTGGGGATTGTTCTTAGGAGAGTCAACGACTGGAGAGCCCAGCATTACATTCAATTTAAGACTAATATTTTCTACTTTTAGGATACTATAAAAATTCCAGCACTATGACCCTAGTGGGGTTTAAATGTAAAACAATCAAATGCATTTTTAGGCCTAATTCAGTTTCAAAAGGTGCCTGTATTAGTATGAAGGTTAAGAGGAAGATCATTAGTTAAAAAAATAAGGTATGGTTAAATCACAGGTTGCCAATTCAGGGAAAAAGACTCAAAGTACAATTAGAAAAACTTAAATTTGTAATACTTTACAAAGCATTCAAGTTGTTGCCAAGGTTGCAAATGTTATCAAAACTGACTCAAGTCTTGCAAATGTTTTTTTTTTTTTAATAAATAAGTGTGCCAATATGTTGATGGTAATCTGCTTGCATTTTGTTTTTATAGAAACTAGGTGGCAGCTATATGCTACAAGAAGTACAGTATTCAATGTTGACAAAACTGGGCTGTATTTGTAAGCAGATATTATCAGCAACCTATAAATCTAGTGAAGAGAAAATGGTTCAACTAGGCCAGCCAAGGAATATTTTACTCTAAGTGGCAATGCAATGAAAGATTAAGGCTACATACATCATCCCTCCAACATTCCACTACTCAGGGCCAACATGTCAAGCATCTCAGTCATGTTTTTATTTGTGCTTATAACTCAAATTAAATTTGCTCAAATTTCGTATTCATGTTACCGAGGCATGTATCTAAAATTTAAATTTATTTACAGTATATCTAGAAATATTTATATGTTGTCCAAAAATACACAATTTACATAAAACATGTATTTAGATTCTGTATATTTTTATAATATTCTGCATACTAAAGGGCTTTTTGCATGCACACCTAAATGTCACCCAATCTCTGTACAAACATTGTATCATGCCAAAATGCCGAAAAAAAATCTGAACACTTTTGTGAAATTCAATTGTCGTTAAGCAAAGATTACCAGTGTTAAAAGAATAAACCTAAAGAACGGTTACTGGGCTATGATTAACATACTGCTGGAGGAAGAAATGACTACACACCCTCTACTTTTATTTGTAAGGATTAGTATTATTACATTCATGGTGGAACTCTAAACCCACAGGCATTGACAAGCATTAACAATGAATGGAGAAATTTTATAAAATACTGACACTGGAAAAAATAGACAAATGGGACTGGATAAAGCCCAGTGTGTGGGCAAAATGTAGTCGATAAAGGATCTCATTATAATGCATTTGTGTATTCTTCCATTAATAATAAATGCTAATACTACTTACGTGTAACAGGAATTGAACTGAGAACGAAGGTCTTCTAAGGTCATCATGGGCTCTGCCACATGAGCAGGATACTCGTGGTTCATCAGGTCAAGTCGTGTTAACGAATCACTACTTTCACTTCTCGACACCCAACTGCTAAAGGAATAATTAGCCGTCAGTAGACAATTTCATCACAGCCATATACAATAATTTTATATTATCTGTACTACAGTACTGTACAGTGCAAGAATATAAATACCTGGAGGAAAAGTATTTATCAGTTTGGACCATTCCGCAAGACATTGCTAGATGCAGGCAGCCGGAAGGCAAGTTGTGACTGAACACGCTAGACCCTGCAAAAAATAAAAATGAATATATAGATGTATATATATACATTTAACAAGTTAATAGAAATGTATACATTAGTCTGCCCAAAATGTTCAGGCATGCTAATGGTTTTCTTTTGTGCTTAATAGTTTGTAACATGTAAATCACACATTGTAAACTATGCAGAAATAAATTTAAAATTTAAGCTAGTTCGAAAGTACAGTACTGTACTTTGTACTTGGCGTGGTATGACCCCATTAATTATTTAGGTGCGAGATTACCAAAACTATTATCCAGAGGGCTGAGGAGGGGTTATTGAAATGAAATGGTTTGGACATGTAGACAGCGCTGTATAGCCCTTGTGGCTTAGCGCTTCTTTTTTATTATAATAATAATAATATATATAATAGGACATGTAGAGGATGGAACAAAATAGAATGACTTCAATAGTGTATAAATCTGTAGTGGAGGGAAGGAGGGGTAGGGATCAGCCTAGGAAAGGTTGGAGGGAGGGAGTAAAGGAGGTTTTGTGTGCGAGGGGCTTGGACTTCCAGCAAGCATGCATGAGCATGTTAGATAGGAGCAAATGGAGCTTAGTGGATTTTAGGACTTTACGTGCTCTTAAGTATAAGCAAGGTAACATTTATGAAGGGATTCAGGGAAACCAGCAGGCTGGACTAGAGTCTTTAAGATGGGAAGTACAGTGCCGGCACTCTGAAGCAGGGGTGTTAATGTTGCAGTTTTATAACTCAAGTGTAAGCATGCCTCTCGCAAGAGTGATGGAGTTCATGAATGATTATGAAAGTTTCTTTTTCGGGCCATCATGCCTTGGGAAACGGCCGATGTGTTAATGAAAAAATAACTATACTAACCTAGGCAACCGAGATTGTAAAGCTAAGCAATTAATTAGCGTTAACATTTTATTTACTAGTTTAATGCGATACTGATACCATAAAAATAGCTAACAAATACGAACTTTGGCTCTCCCAGTATTTATAAATTATTCCTCTGATTTGATTTATACAGTGATAGCCAAATCCTGTCTTTTACTTTACCATCTACAGTAGTGAGCTACATTTTTTACAATCGACCGTGACAAAAGCAGCTGCAAAGAATTATAGACCGATAGGTCTAACTTCCACATTATGCAAGTCTTCGAAAAAGTATTATTCTAAAAAGCATGAAAATATGATTAAGTATATGAAAATGTGATGGTCAATGAGGGTAAATTTCCATTACTCTTATGCAAAACTTTAGGAAATACTAGCTATAATGGAGCATACAAGACATTCTAACAGGAAAAGGCTAATGTGAAGGACTTGGGAGTGATAATGTCAGAAGATCCTGCCTCAAAGGATTACAGGTGTTACTCATGTATGCGAGGCAAATGATATGATGGGTAATGAGAACTTTCAAAACAAGGGATCCCATGCCAGTGATTATCCTCTTTTCTCTCTAGGCTGGAATACATAAGCACATAAGAAAGAAGGAACACTGCAGCAGGCCTACTGGCCCATGCGAGGCAGGTCCAAGTCTCCTACCGGCTTAAGCCAATGCACCCAACAGCCCTATTCAAGACATGGGAGACTGCAGATCTAGAGAATATAAAGAACCTTCACTGCATGTAATAGCTCAGTCAAGTACCTTTATTACTGGAAATGTCTGAAGTCCTTTGACCTGTACTCCTTTGAACACAGGAGGGAAAAATGCATTATAATCTACACCTGCGAAGTCTTAGAGGTACTGGTCCCAAATCTGCACACATGCTTAGAAAACCAATAAGTGTCCAGGGAATAAGACTTAAACAGCCTCCAATCATACATAAGGGGAATTACCTAGATGTCTCTAAGAGGGAACAAACTCCCAAGTACAGTTATAGAGGCTAAAGCGTTGTGTAGTTTTAAAAAAATAGGTTAGATAAATACATGAGTGGGTGTGGGTGGATGCGAGTTGGACCTGATTAGCTTGTGCTACTAGGTCAGTTGCCGTGTTCCTTCCTTAAGTGAATGTGACCTGATCTGACTAGGTTGGGGCATTGGCTTAAGCCAGTACGAGACTTGGGCCTGCCTCGCATGGGCCAGTAGGCCTGCTGCAGTGTTCCTTCTGGTGGCCTGGTGGCTAACGCTCTCGCTTCACACGGCGAGGGCCTGGGTTCGATTCCCAGCCAGAGTAGAAACATTGGGCGTGTTTCATTCCACCTGTTGTCTATGTTCCCCATCAGTAAAATGGGTACCTGGGTGTTAGTCGACTGGTGATGGGTCGCATCCTGGGACACTGACCTAATTTGCCCGACATGCGGAGCATAACAAGGCTTTCTATATAGTAGTATGTCATTGTTGTCAGCTAGGCCTGTATATCATGTACATGTACTTGTACGAAATAAAGATATTATATTATTATTATGATACATAAAGTCCGTGCCCGATCTGCCGGGCTGTGGTTTGTACATTAGATTGTGTTTGGCCTGTAGTAACAGTCTCGTTAATCAGTCCCTGATCCACCGGGAGGCCTGATAGAGGGCCGTGGGGGCGTTGACCCCCGAAACAATTTCCAGGCAGATATTCGGCTTATGTAAAAAAAAAAAAAAAAAAAAAGAAAAAAAAAAAAAAAAACTTTCAGATGTTTTGGTCAACATTTACTTTATTTACACAAGACTTGGTTGCAGGACAGTCTTGTACTACAAAATTTAAGGAATCTGATTATACACAAGTCAAGAATGCTGGGACCGAACCCTTAAGAAAACAAGACCATACAAGAGGATCCTATACTGTTGGAAGCAATCGATGCCTGGTACCCAATTGCTTCCCTCCCTGAGCAACATTGATCGATGCCACCCTCATCCCCTGAAGCTGGGTCACCTTCATGGGGTGGCAGGATTCCCTGGGTTGTGCATGTACTCGGCCAAGTATTTTCTAAGGTTTAAACAGATGTACACAAACATACAATTCTGTTAATTGTATAACTTGTGTGGGTTTATGTAACTTTTTTTAAATAGCTTTAATCTTGTTAAAACACGGTACAGAATAGTTCGCAATATTTCAGTTCATGAGGGAGGGGGGGGGGGTAGAAGAATTGTAATTTGGCAAGAAATTACCGTAGACTTGTGAGCACCAAACCAAATACTGTACACACAAGATTCATTGGGATTATTAACCAGGAGGGTTTGCCGCTCAGGGAAAAAGTCAGCGCGTCTTCGAGGCTTATTTCCATTGTGGACAACAGGTGTAAAGAAACATGTCCAACATTTCTACTTGAACTGGGGATTGAACCACAGACACTATGAAGCGAGGGCATTGTCTACAGACTTAGGAACTTAGTCAACACTTTTCAAAATTTATTTTTAAATACATATTTCAAATCCCGAATATACTTGGTAAAACATCATGGTTAAGGGCGATGGGTCCCGGACGTCAAGAAGCAAACAAACTGCACAAGGTTAAATGCATGCAAATTACAAGTTAATTTAGACTAGTAAATTAACGTAGAATAACTGGTATACAATTCTGGTAGCTATTTATGTGGTGAAATCCATACACAAACTCATGCAAATATTTCACCTTATCTGTACTATTATTATAATCATAACTAAGCGCTAAACCCACAAGGGTCATACAGCTGTACCGACTGTAAACCATTCTTTATAAGAGTATTTTTTTTTATTTCAAACTATTTGGTGGACAAGTTGGATAAAAACTATTGAAAGCTTTGACAAAATCAAATCAGGAACCGTGTGTAGTGACTAACGTCAGACACTAATAATTGAATTTGATCGGGATTTGTCCAGTGCTGTTGTAATCACAGAAAGGTGTTAAACCTGTGTGGATGATTAAGCATTACCCGTATCAAATATCAGCAGTCAAGACCTATCCATTTCTGAACACAGGATCAGTGAATATTTCCAGTTGCGCTTCTGTTTGATTCAAACACTGAGCTGGCTCATAATAAACATGTTAAGCAGTGAAAGTGGGCTGGGTGCGCCACAAACAAAGCAAACTTAAATTACAAGATAGGGAACAAACTGAAAGTTTTGCAAACCAGTTAATACAAGAATTTAAGTTAGTTTAATATCTTTATTATGCACCCCATACCCATCCTGTGGGCGGTAGTCAAAAGATTACAAAGGTACATAATGGGTCCAGGGACTGGACCCCAAAGCTATGATAGCTGAACTAGTTACAAAGGTAATGAACTCCAGGTAGATCGGGTCACAATCATGGCAAGTTACAAAGGTAATGAATCAGCCTCACTCCTATACATGGTTGCACATGTAATACTGTAAAGATTATAATGCTAAGCTGGATCTACGTGTTCACTCTTCTCCGTTTAACCTATTTGAAAAGCCAACTAAAGTATTTAGTTTTGATACAAGTCACAATACCGTAAATGGAACAATTCTCAAGCAACCCACAATTTAGTGACGAAACAAAAGGCTAATTTTGAATTGTTACAAATCATCAATTAGCTCGTCACTTCAACGGAGGGAGGAGGGTAATTCCTGATGCTGAAGGGTTCTTCCTTGGATCAACCTAATTACATGCGGAAAAGACGCATATTTTCTGTGAAATGTTGACTTGCGCCATCGTTCATCCACCTGATTACCTCCAATTCCCTAGGCGCTGTATGATCATAGCGGTTCAGCACTTCCCTCAAGATCAAGAAAGTATAGGTAAGCACTTCCCGTAGCTCGATCGCTAGCGTACTCAGCTCCATACCGGGGGATCTATCCCCCGGTACGGCTGGAAAATATTGGAACGTGTTTCCATAAAACACCTGTCCCTGTTCACTCATCAGTAAAATGGGTACCTGGGTGTTAGTCGACTGGTGTGGGTCGCATCCTGGGACAAAACTGACCTAATTTGCCCGAAATGCTCCATAACAAGGGACTTTATAGTAGGATGTCACAGCTAGTCCTGTGTACCTTGTACATGTACTTTTATAAATAAAGATATCCACAATTTTCAATTTGTACACTATAATCATATTCAACCTTATTCTGTTTCCAGAGTTAATTTAATGGGAGCTAGCA